TCGAGGTTTGATGTGTTAGGTCTAATTGACTATTATCAGTTCCGACGACCACGGATTGTATCAAAGTAGCTTAATCATTGTTATTCTTACATCCGTAACATCTCAGACACTACTGAACTCCAATAATAACACAACAATTTGATAATACTTAAACCGAAAACTGGTTCAAAATGATTGATGAATCTACTAATCTACTATTCACTACGAGGAAACAGATTAATTCTCTAAGAATCTTAGTACAATATGACAATACATTTATTCTCCAATATTCATTAAGGTATAGAAATAGACAACCTATCGGCATATAATTATCCTAGACCACCATCATAGTTAGAGCGGATGTGTACATGGATTTATTTGTAATTAATAAACGGATGTCCAGTGTTTCCTGACTTTCAATGGTGGTCAAGATTTGATCGACTCATGAATTCACAAACACCTACTCAGTTATAACAAAAACCATAATCAAGTAAGTATGATACTTATTTATTTTACATGAAGATCTTTAGGTAAATTGTTCGTTATACTACTAAGATGTTTGTGTTGAGGTAAGATGGTGGTTGGAGGTGGTCAAAAGTAAACCCTGTACCCGGATTTCGCGCTACTTGGCACTCGTCAGCAAGGTGTATCTGTAATATTGAGGGAACTGGTGCTCCCTGATGGATTCGATCCCGTGTCACTCAGCTTCACAGTCAGAGACGTTAACACTGAGCTATTTGGACCGTGACCGACCTCCTGTGGGATTGAGATGTAATCACAATTGATTGATCACTGGGTAATGATCCATGTCCTGTATATTAGATCCTTCTTAGTGCTGATCGAATGCTATCGATCAAGTTGCACTGTGGCCACTAGTCTAGGTGGCTCGACACTGCGTGCACTATATATATTGAGGTAAGATTGTGGTTGGTGACACGGGATCGAATCCGCCAGGGAGCATCAATTCCCTCAAGATTACAGGTACACCTTGCTGATGAGTGCCAAGTAGCACGAAATTCGGTTCCAGGGTTTCTTGTTCACCACCTTCAACCACCATCCTACCTCAATATATATAGTGCACGCAGTGTCAAGCCACCTAGACTGGTGGCCACATTGCAACTTGATCGATAGCATTCGATCAGCACTAAGAAGGACTTGACACGTATGACATTGATCACCACCCAGTGATCAATCAATTGTGAAGATTTTTGTGTATCAGTATATCATTCATACATAATAGAGTCTAGTTTCTTGGTCTGTATTATCCAAATCTTTTGCAGACGTAAATTTGGCTTGACTTATCAGTAGATCTACTATTGTAGATCTTCTGTTTTAATCGAAATGTGGTGTATGCTACTTATGTTGACAGATATAGGTAGTATGTAACACCAATCAGAAGTGGAATGTCTGCGATTAAAAAGATTCAGTTGATCAAATTAGATAAAACAAAAATGTAAACAGAGTAATTGTAATAACAATGAAAGAATGATGGAGTTTGAGACAACTGATGGAAGATTTACAAATGATGGTTTTTCACATTTTACCAAAGCATTCTGAACTAATCTTCCCCGTTTGAGTCTTCATTCACTAAAGAAACATAACTTTACTTAAAGCCGTTAAAATGAGAAGAAAAGTGTACACTATTCATACATTAGTATGTAAGATCTAAGATGGTGGCTAGCGATGGAATCCTGGATGTGTGACACTTTGTCCTATATGGGACTCGTCACTTGGATGTGCCTGCATCCCAGAGTTGGTTGCACTTCTAAAGAGATTTAGTGCTAGAGAGATTTTTTTACTGAGTATACGTGCTGTGTTGAAGTTGATACTACACTTAAAGTGTGTTGGTTTTCGGTATATAGTTAGATTTATAGCTCAACTTAGATGTATATTCACTAAGTATTGTTTGTTTGAATCTTCCCATTGATGCTTTGAACTGCAACTGGTCAGTTTCTTATTGTCATATGTATATACTGTGCGTATTGCCTCGATATAGCTTTAATTCACTAGCATTATAAGCGAAGATGGATAGTGGCTAGTAGTGGAATCCAGTTTGATGCGCGTCGATTCGTCCTATTTGTGACTTATCAACTGGACTGACAAGTTGCAGTGCTAAACATCAATGGGATGATTCAGGTAAACAATACTAAGTGAATTTAAACTTCACCTCATTGCACAAGCAAGTGACTAGGAGGACTCAGTAGGTGAGTGGCGTTTGAAGGAAAAGGCACTGGGTTGGAGTCCCAGATTGAACATCAGCTCTGAGATTTAGGTACATCCAGCTGACGAGTCGCAAATAGGACGAAGTGACGGGCGTCTTGAATTCCGCTGCCAGCCACTATCTGTCTTTGCTCAACTTAGATTTCTTTTAATTATGCAATCTGGAAATGTTAGTTCACCGCGTTCTTATAAGTGAATCTAATACGAGATGAGAGTGTATTGATCTTTTTAGAAAAGATTCATATGAAAGCTTTTTTCATTATGACAATCCTATAGTCCACGTATCTGAGTCAAGTTCTTCGTTTAATATCACTGGTCAAAATAATTGATTCTATATGTATGGTTACAATGCAAGACATAGAGGATCCTATTGTTGGTAGGTAACACGGCATTTAAGCATAGTTTAATAGATTTCATCGTTAAACTGATGTCTAGAGGACATCAATTCATACTAAAAAAAAACTTTATATCATAAATGTATCTGTATTTCGTGGACACTATACATCTATATAGAACGATAAACGCAGATGGGTAGGATCAATTTTAAGTTTAATGCAAAATTACATAGTACCTTCGTAGAATATGAAGCTTACATACAATTAAATAAATCAGAACGGGTTTTGTGGAGATTTCAGTTTTTTTCATAGTTGAAACCATTAGTCAATTGAAGCTAGATCACCATGGAAAACCTGGAAGCACTGGACAACCGTTTCGTCCTATTATGGGACTCCTCATCGTGGATTGATTGAAGTTAGACATTAACACCGTTGGATACCGGCTCGGCGGTCTGTCGGTTAAGTGCTCTGTAGCAAGACTGGTAGGTTCTGTGTTCTAATCTCGCTCGCTAGGTGGTATCGTGAATGCGCAGTGCTGAAGAGTCTCATAATAAGGCGAAACCGCTGTCCAGTTCTTCCAGGTTTTCCATGATGGTAGTCTAGCTTCAATTGACTCATGATTTCAATTATGAAAATTAAATAAATGATTTGAACATCTTTCAGTTATCCTTCATATGTTTCATAATTCTTTCATTTCTGTTGTTATTACAATTACTATCCATTTACAGTTATATTCTTTTCAATACGATTTTCTTCTTAATCTTCTAATAGTAGATATTCTACTTCTGATTAGGGTTACATACTACTTATATCTATCAATATAAGTAGTATACACTACACATGTATACCTATTCTATTCTTTCTGTAATAATGATAGTTAATCAATGTACGAGATTATACACCCATACATATTCTTTGAATGTAGTTCATCCTTAATACACAAATATGTCGGTAAATTATGTTTAATGATGAAAGAAAATTTGTTTTGTTGCCAACTTATAAAATATTCAATCATAATTTGTTGTTAAGGGTGTTTGTTTGTTTTTAATAAAGGCGGTAAATTTTATTAATATGAGAGGGAGAGAGAGAGAGGAGGGGGGAGGTAAACCTTGTCACAAAATGGTAATAAGTTAGAGTTATTAATTAACGTTTTAAAACAAAAAGGGTGCACGATTATAATGGATAATCATTTAGAATTAATTGTTGATAACTTAAGAATATAGTAGAGTAGAACCCCTAAATGCCCTGTTATGGACGAGGTTGGAGAGAGTCAATTCTTCTGCTTAAAATAATCTTACATAACTATGTGTATACAGCTACTGAAAGGGTAACCCTACTTGTTGCCTTCTAGCGGCCTTACTGTTGTCTATGAAATTAAGAGGACGAACAATGAAAGTTCAACGATCAAACCACTGAGATGAAAGAATAAAACTCTATCTAAAACCTTCGACATCTATCCATTTATTTGTATATACATATTCATGGGTTAATTCAAATGTATAACAATGCATGCAAGGCAAATAGAATCATTTCAACTTTGTGCAATTATGCATGTTGATAAACAATGCATGCATTTTGTTTAGAATAAATAACTGTTAATTGTCTAGTATGCCTGATATTTATATGTATATTCTATCTATATATAACTGATTGCAGAGGACATGGTAACAAGGTATCATAAGAATACTAGTTGTGTTTTTTCTGGGGGGTGGGCGGGGCGGTGTTAAACTTTGTTACTGAGGCATTTTCAAAAGATAGTTTCTTATCATAGTTGAAAGCGTGAGTCAATTGAAGCTAGATCATCATGGAAAAAGTGGAAGCACTGGACGGCCGCGAGTGCGGAATCGTGGATACGCACTTCTGAGGACTACTATAATAGGATGAAATGGCCGTCAGACAGTGTTTCCAGGTTTTCCATGGTAGTCTAGCTTCAATTGACTAATGAATTCAACTATGAAAATACTAAATCTCCACAAAACTCATTCTGATAGTTTCTTATATTAGTAGAAGTATTCTAGTGATCATAGTGGGTAACAAAATTAAAAGTATAAGCAGGGGTCTAATAAAATAGATTTACTCGGTACTTAGTATTCTCAAAATACAATAAAATGTTATTGTTGGATATGCGACATAAAAATGACAGTGTAAGTTTAACCAATACAACTCAAATAGAATCATGAACTATTCAATATAGCATTAGTCACTCAGTTTTACTGGTAACTAATTAATGTTGTAGATCATCAACATTATTGATCTCTGTCAAACAATTGGTGGCTTACTAGAGTTACGTAACGTCGAAGTTGAACTTCACAGTCAGCACATAACGTGGATTAATCAAGGTACTATGGATGCTTTGAAGACCGTACAACACAAAGGATGTTATTACAAAAATATATTAGTTAAAGTAGAAAGAAGTGGAAGTGTGACCATTACCGCATGGATCAGTTCATAGCGTACGATTAACTGATGCACACTGGTTGTCCTTGACTTTGACAGGGATCGACGATCAGTTCGGTATTCAATGACCCAACTGCCGGATGGTTTGACTAGAACTTGATGACATTTCACTAGTGCTTCAGCTTCTTACAAAAATAACTGAATAGAAAATTTAGTTTTGAACTCTTGTAAATTGTATAAAGTTTTGTACCTTTTCAATCCATTGAACTTCTTTTCAGATGATAAGTATGTATGTGTATGTACAGTCATTGTTTAGGGCTATTACTTAACGTGTAACAGGAAACATAGTTGTACATCAAGACTTATTCACTGAGGTCATCTATAACTTTTTTCATTATAACTGACTAAATCAAATCGACTTGTGCTTTTAATCGAACTCTTGAATATATTTGAGTAGGGTACTGTATAGAATACAAAGTATTTGTTATTCAGTTAATATTTCAATGAACATTTTATCAAGGTACGCATCCACGATCTCACTCACCGGGTTTGAACTCAGGACCCTCGGTCTCATGCACTAACGCTTAACCTTTAGACTACTGGGTCGGCCGTCATCCTACAGTGGTAATGTCTAGCTTGAACTAATCCACGAAATTGCTCCAACATCCATCATTATCTTCAGTGAGTTACTGACTTACAACAGATGTGGTTGAACTCCACTGATCAACTAATGACATCAATCAAGTAAATTAATTAGATTTTCAAAATAGTCTAAGATAAACTGAAAGGAATTTATCATACAGATTACATTCATTTTACATAGTAGGAACTCCTCAGTATACAGTTTAATAACAAATGCGTATAAAAATTGTATTTTTGAGGTTACGTGGGTTTATGTAAGCCATTTCTTCAGAGTACTTATTTAGTCTGAAGAAGTGCCTAACATAAAGTGGCGAAATGTTAGAAATAAAGCTTTCCTACGCATTAGGATATTACAAAAGATATATATTTATTACTAACTTTCCACTTAATGCTCAAATTATTCAAAAGTATCAAATCGATAGAATTCGATCTACACCAAGAAGGATCTGAAATACATTAAATCGATCACCACCCAGTGATCAATCAATTGTGAATACATCTCAGCCCTATAGGAGATCAGTCGCAACCTGGATACCCCAGTGTTAACGTCTCTGACTGTGGAGATGGGTGACATGGGATTAAATCCATGGGGGTGCATCAGTTCCCTAACGATTACAGATACACCTCTCTGACGAATGCCAAAAAGCACAAAACCTGGGTCCAAATTTCCATGTTGGTTACCTCTAATCACCATCTCTCTCACCATCAACAGGAAACGCTGAACCCAGGTTCCATGCTATTTGACACTCGTCAGCAAGGTGTACCTGTAATCTTGAAGGAATTAATGCTCCCTGATGCATTCGATGCCATGTCATCCAGCTTCACACTGGGGTATCCGGGTTGCGACTGACCTCCTATAGGACTGAGTTGTACTTACAATTGATTGATCACTGAGTAATGATCCATGTCCTGTATATTAGATCCTTCTTAATGCAGATCGAATGCTATCAATAAGTTATATATTATGTAATATATTATACCCCCTTATTGTTATATAACTGCATGTATCTTAATTAGAATTGTATATGAATAATTAATATGCTTTTTACAATAATTTACAATTATCTGCTTTATTTAATTTTAATCATTTTGATTACGTAACATGGCAACAAAAGTTTTTTTTTGTATTTTATTTTCATGTTGCCTATTCTCATTATCTTACATTAATTCATTAAATGGAATGTATTTGTGGGTGTGGGCGAGTGGGTGTGTGCGTGCGTGTGTATGTGTGTATACATATATACATATATGCTTTTTTTTATATGGAACATGTATTGAAATGTATATTATTCTTTCTTATTTCTAAATATTATTAAAAACCATCCATATACACACACACACTCACACACATACACACAAAACAACAATCAAAGGAACTCGAGCAATCATTCGACGAGGAGCTACAAGTGTTGAACCAGCTGAAAAGAACGATGGTGACGATGATGACGATGATTATGATGATGATGATAGGGAAGATCATGATGATGATAATGAAATATATGGAAGGAATATGAATGGATTTACAATAAATTCTAGATTACCACGTAGTTCAACTACAATGACAACAGTTAGTGGTGAACCATTAATTTCATCAAATGTATTACGTTATAATGATAAAGGAAATACAATGGGAACATCAACAGTATCACACATCGGAAGTAGTAGAATACGAGATGGAACCATTCAACAACAATATCATCTTAATGATGAAGGAAATTTACCACGTCCTCATAACACTGACGATATGAGCAGTCAACTTAAAAAAAGTAAATATTTATCAGCTACTAGAAATAATGATAATGGTAATCGAAATGGTTATAGTGAGTTGGATAGTTTATTTGATTGATTCATGTTTTTTTTCCTTTTATTTAACTAAACCTCTTTGAAGTATTGGTACAAGAAGGCATCGGATATATATGCGCCACACAAATCAAATGAGATTTGTGTGAGGGCTGTGATACTACCCAGGTGCCCAAACCGAAACAGGTGGTTTTCTTAGGGGGCCACACCCGGAGCCTTTCACCTAAAGATCTGATCCACAAGGCAGTGGAGCATCGTGAGGAGATGCACTCTCATGGTAGCCGGAGACCGACGATTGATTCACACGCCATTTGTTCCCTCAGGATTCTGGAGCCCATGTGCACGATTGGTTTGGAATCAGGGTTTTCCAACTCCCCTAGGTGGAATTTCCGTATCCACCAACTCTGTTAAAGTGCCAGATACTCGCTTTTCATCCTCTCAATTTTGTAAACAATAACCGCATCACGAGAAGGCAGTGAATAGGACTTCCATGTCAGAGGCTATATACGCAAGGCCATGTGAGAGGATTTCGAGAAGGAAAGCTAACTCTCCTCACTCTCGGCCGTACCAGGGCAGATTATTAGGTACCATCATTTATTTCAAAGGAAAAATGATTTAAACATGTTATCGTTAATAGAAATAGAGTTTCATTCGGTTATTACTAAGTAACAATTGATTGGTCACTGGGTGCTGATCAGTGTCACGTGTGTCAGTTCCTTCTTTAGTGTAGATCGAATCCTAACGAACAAATTGTAATATGGCCACTTGTCTAGGTGACTCAACATTGAGTGAACTATATTGAGATAAGATGGTGATTAGAGGTGGTCAACAGGAAATCCTTGACTTAAGTTTCGTGCTACTTGGCATTCGTCGGAGAGGTGTACCTGTAATCTTGAGGGAATTGATGTTCCCTGATGGATTCGGTCCCGTATCACCCAGCTTCGATTGGATGGAAGGCCAATTTATGAGATAGTAAATCTTCATCATCTTGGATTTTTAGGACATGCATCATGCACGCCCAACTACTACCTACTTCAACAGCCAATGTTGGTTGTAAGAAAGCTAGGAGTGGTCGAATTAAAACGTTAAACCAATTTATAAAATCCTTGGCGATTTGATTCAACCATGTTATTAGGTTTGGACTGCTTAATTGGTGTCCGCATGATTATCGTTCCCAATTGTAGAGATGGATTCACTCTTTGTTTTCTTCTGGAACATCAGTCTCGATTTCTATCAATTTCCTTTTACGGAAGGGGGTTTCTTGAAGATTTTTGTAATTTTATATAGTTGAGATCATGGGTCAATTGATCATATGCTCACTAGTGACTGACTACATGAGGTAATTCCTGGAGTTCTAGTGAGAAGTCGTGACCAGTGGAGCTAATCCATGTCAAGTAGAAGCAGGTATTTACCTCAGTACAATGGAAGATGGTCGCGCGATTTCGTGGATCATTATAAATCATTATAATTATACAAAATAAGACAGTCTTATATTCAGTAAGATACTTTTCAAAGGTCCAAATACTTATCTTCGTTTATGTTGAACAATGGACTAATCAAGAAAATATGTCAGTCAGTGATAGAAAGTATATTAACTACATAGAGAACAATAATGAACAACATGATAACAGATTCCGTGGAAGAAGTCTTTGCAGTGAATGAAGAGGATGTCCATATTTAAATCATATTTTATACATGAAAACAGAATGGTGTTGAATCAATTCATGAAGAAGTCCAGTATGTATAAGCAAGAAGTTTAAAAACTATTGGAATAATAGAATTATTTGAATGATCAATATACGGTTGCGGAGGTCGTTGACTTTTAATTAAGATCATGAACAGACCAATATTGACCATTATTGAAAACCCAATAGCAATGGATGGCTGTTTCGTCATAGTGTGGAACTCGTCGTCAGTGAGCATCCACTATCCTGCACGCAGGACTCAAACCTAAGACCTTCGATCTCGAAAGTTACCGCTTATTTTCTAGACAACTAAGCTGGAATCTAAAAGTGTCGATGTCTAGCTTCAACCAATCCACGTAATTGGGCGACCATTTTCCATCATCTTTGGTGGGTAACTGTCTCACACCCAACACGATTGAAATCCATTAGTCACAGCTTCTCACTAAAACTCTGAGAGTTGCTTCTCAAAGTTAATCACTAGACAATAATGAAGCTAGAGGTCAATCGTTTGCGAGTGAGACCAAAGATCTTAGGTTCGAGTCCCGTATACCGGATCATGGATGCGCATTGACGACGAGTTCCACACTGGGACGAAACAGTCATCCAGTGCTTCCAAGTTTTCAATGGTAATCTAACATTGATCAAGCATTAAATTATTATTCATTCATTGCATTAGTATTATGCATGTAAATTGATATTGAACTCGAATGTAATATGCATTAGTTTATACGACAAAATGTAAAAGAGGTATATACTTTTTGTATTACCAAAAAGTGCTTTGCATGTATTTGCATGCTCGAGATACAACATTATTGATTGTTGAGCTCTTCATGAATGTAAACAACAGGTTATATCTTTTGGTCCCTCTCCAAATTATCTTTGAAATTTTTGAACTTTGAATTGTTTCAAAGTCAATATTACTGTATAGTTTTGTTTTCGTGGTTGGCGTTTAGTTTTTAGCGAGTTAGTTTTCCACGAGATGGGGTCGCTAATTCCATGCTCAACCCTCTTCCGGGTATGGGACCGGCAGTAATCCCAGAGGGGCTCCAGGGGGAGTCATTACTGTATAGTACTTTAGCTAATTATGAAACCAGATATATGGATCTTGATCTTACCAAATCTTAATATTATTGAAAAAATCAATGTATTTTGTACTTTAATATTTACGCTTATAACTGAAATGATCGCTTAAATACACTTGATATTGTTTACTTGAATCTTCCCATTGATGTTTTGGGCTACAGTTGATCAGTCTCTTATTGACATGTGTGCATACTGTACGGATTGCCTCGATGTTGCCTTAATCCACAAGCATTATAAGCAAAGATGGATGGTGACTAGCAATGGAATCTAGTTTGACTTGCGTTTCGTCCTATTTGGGACTTTTCAGCTGGATGTGCCTGCATCTCGAGGCAATACGCACAGTATGCACATATGTCAATAAGCGACTAATAAATCCTAAATATCAACAGGAAGATTCAAGTAAACAATATCAAGTGAATTTAAACTTCACCTCCATTACACAAACTAGTGGCTATCATGATTCAGTAGTTAAGTCGATAACGCGATGTCGTTTGATCCAGGTATGTCCATCTAACAAGTTCCAAATTGGATGAGAAGAACGTCCTGAATTCCACTGCCAGCCACCATTCATCTTTACTTGAAATGATCTATGTTAATTATGTACACCTAATATATCTGTTACGCATAGGTTTTGTGGCAATCTGTTTAATATGAGATCAGTTAACAACATTAAATCACATTCACAAAAATAGTCATCAAAGGCTAAATAACATTAGTCGATCGAGTTGTACTCATATTTGACTCCACATAGCAACTGAGTGATTAATAGTTTTATAAAAAGAAACTATGAAAATTAATTTCATAATAGATTATACTCCTTCAATAACATCTTCAGACTCTAATCTTTCGGATTACTGCTTACACTCTTATTACTTCTACCACTATGGGATTGGAATCGACAACTGCATCTGTGTGTTAATGTGGTATGGCAACTCGAACTGATGTACGTACGTACGAAGTTCTACGTTGTGACTGACTGACTGACTGACTGAATATCTACAGGTTATGGATCTATATCATTTAGCGTTATTCAAAAGTATTGTGACTAAATTAGAGAAAAAAAGTAGATGAATGAAGTAAACAATATTGATTGGTTCACATAATGACTCTTTAGCTGATCCCAGTTCGATGAAGAAATGATTTTTAGTTGTTCTAACTAAATTCTTGTAGTAGTGGGAGGGGGGTAATTTTTAATTTGTAAGGATAAAAGTACTAATTAAATGACAGAAAATTACACTACTGATGATCATTTTGCTATCGTAAACATCTGTTTTCTTAATTACTTATAAGTAATCAAGGAAACACAGTGCCATTCGTTGTGTTTCACTTTTACTAACTTACTAATATATTCCGTAATCAATACTAACTAATTACGGAATCATGATACGATATAAGTTAGCTCAACATTGGAAACATATAAAAACTGAACGGCTGTTTAGTCCTAACATGGAGCTCCTCAACAGAGTATACCAACGACCCAACACTAGAATCATATCTAGGACTTATGGTCTTACACGTAAAAACGTAATCCTAAGACCACTGAGCCAATACACGATGTTATAGAAGTCTAACATGGTAAATGTAACCATGTGCTCACTGATGGCTAGCTTCTTGAAGAAATTCACCAAGTTTTAATGAGAATCCTTGACCATTGGAGCTTATCCATGTCAGGTAAAGACAAGTATCTACCTCAGACAATGGAAGATGGTAGGGTAATTTCGTAGATTGATTTAAGTTAAACATTAATGTTGTATGATGCCGTCCGGCCGGCTCAGTAGTCTAGAGGTAGAACGTTCACGCGTGATACCAAAAGTCCTAGATTCGAGTCCTTTTGTGTGGGACCGCGAATACGAACTGCAGAGAAGTACCATAATAAGACGAAACAGCCATTCATTGATTCCAGGTTTAAAAATTATTCAGTCAAACCTATCCATATTTACACACACTACTCCTCTTTAACTAACTATGGTATATAACTATATGTTACTATATTATTTTAAAAGGTAGTCGTAATAAACATGGTCGTCGTCCATCATCTCAAACTAATGAACATGATATGTTAATACCAGGTCAACCACTTATATATAATGCAACAATAACTAATATTAATCGATCAGGTCATAGTTCACGTGGTCCATATACAAGTCTTGGTCCAGGTCATTTTCGTATAACTGGAAGAGCACCATTAGCTTATGATACTACATCTATGGGAACAACAACACCAATTCAATCACCAAAACCAATTATTAATGATACATTACAATTTTCTTTTGATAATGAACATGTACAACGTAATTCTGTATTGATATCATCAATTCCAAATGAGAAATCAAATAAACCAGTACTTTTTGAAGATGATACAATAAATAAACCATCTAGATCATGTTTAATGTCATGTATACAAAGAATTACATCATTCTGTAATCGATTATTTAGATGTAATACTGATAATAAAAAGGTGAACAAAGGTTTAAGTCTTAGTCAAGAATCAACTGGTATAAAAGGACCTAAAGAATTTGCTACACTTCGTGCAATGGCAGCATTAGCTGCAGCGACTGCGGCAACAGCTGTAGCAGATCCAACAAAAACTACTCAAGGAGGTAAGTAACTATGATGTCAATTCATTTTGTATTGGTGTTTAGGAATGCCATTGATCCATCTCTTATTGGCATATGTCCATCCCATTACACAAGCTAGTGCCTTATTATTTATCTAAATGCATAACACGATAACGTTCAAAGCCAACGGTACTGAGTTGGAGTTCCGGAGTAAATATCAACTCTGGGATCCAGGTACATCTAGCTGATGAGTCCCATATGGGACGACATGCGCGTCCTGGATTACACTACTGACCATCTTCCATTTTTGCTTATTATGTTAATTGATTTTTCTCTTTGTCATTCATTTAAATCTGTTTTAATAAAGTGAACTGATGAATGGATCCATAGTGTATGACTGTTTATTGACCACTATCAAAATATAACGTTTTCAAGTTTATATTCATGATGAAAGTTAAACTTCGATACTATATTAATTTTAATAGTTGAGATCATAAGTTAATTAAAGCTTAGATCACCATGGAAAACCAAGAAGAACTGGACAGCCGTTTCATCCTATTGTGAGACTCCTCAGCAGCGCGCATCCACGATTCCGCCTCACGAGATTTGAACCCAGGTTCTATCGATCTCGCTCACGAACGCTTAACCATTCTGATATTACTCAACATATGCTCAGTAGTGGATGGCTTTAAGAGGTATTTCCTGGAGTTATAATGAGAGGTAGTAACCAGTGGAGTTCAACCGGGTCTGTAATGAGATAGTAACTTACTGATAACAATACTGGACGATTGCTCAACGGCGTGGATTGGCTGAAGTTAGACATTAACATCGTTGGATACCGGCAAGTTCAGTGGTCTAGAGGTTAAGCGTTCGCGCACGAGACCGAAGCTCGAGAGGTGTGATCGTGGATGCGCCCTACTGAGGAGTCCCACAATAGGATGAAACGGCCGTCCAGTGCTACCAGTCTTTCCATGGTGATCTAAGCTTCAATTAACTTATGATCTCAACTATTAGGACAATATTTTATCCAAGATGTTTTATGTTTATTGTTGTTTTTAATGAATAAGACACTTTACTAAAGTATACATCTTTTATAAAAATTTGAAAATTTAGCCTTTCAGTTGTTTATAACATTTCACTTCTTCCATATGTTGCTTACTTACTTACTCTTGTTAACCCTCGTTGAGGAGTATAGACCATCCACCAGTATTCTCCATCGAACACTATTCTGGACAATCCCTTACAGTTGTTTCCAGTTGTTATTCATCTATTTCATGTCTACTTCCAATTCTAGACACAATATGTTCATTGGTCTTCCTTCTTTTTTCCTTACATTCTTGCCTTCAGAATTCTAATTTAGGGATTGGTTTGTGATACAGTTTGATAATATTCATAATGTATAATCCATCCAATTCCAGAGTAAATTCTTAAATTCCTCTTCAGATGGAACTTGGATTGTTCTTTTTCCACAGTAGGCTGATGCTCCTCATGGAGGAGCATCGACTCCCCTTCTACATGCCATGTACTTACTTACTTACGCCTGTTACTCCTCCTAGAGGAGCATAGGCCACCCACTAGCATTCTCCATCCAAATATGTCCTGGGAAATCCTATCCTGTTCTTTGAAGTTAACATCCATCCTTTTCATATCTGTTTCTATTTCACGGTGTAATGTGTTCTTTGGCCTTCCTCTTTTCCGCTTCCCTATCGGATTCCAAGTTAGGGATTGCCGTGTAATACACATTGGTGATTTCCTCAATATATTTCCTATCCACTTCCAATGTCTTTTCCTAATTTCCTCTTCAGCTGGAAGTTGGTTTGTCTTTTCCCACAGAAGGCTGTTGCTGATAGTATCCTGCCAATGGGTGTTGAGTATTTTGCGTAGACAACTCTTTATAAATACTTGTACCTTCTTGACGATGGATGTAGTAGTTCGCCATGTTTCAACTCTGTACGTACAGTAGGACTGTCTTGACGTCCGTATTGAAGATTCTCACTTTAAACTTAGTTGACAGTTGTTTTGAGTTCCATATATTCTTCAATTATAGAAATGCTGCCCTTGCTTTACCAATTGTCACCTTTAAATCTGCATCCGATCCCCCATGTTTATTAATGATGCTTCCCATGCCATTTAATAATCAATAATTGGTTTCTATAGTGTTTTTATCATTATTATTATTACTATTACTATTAATATTATTATTATTATTCGATAATTGAATATCTACAATCTATTTTCAGATTTGATAATTCCATCAAATTTCTTTGAACCAGGTAGTAGTGAATGTTGTCATGCATTTTAAATAGAACTATTTCATATGTATAAATAACAAATATGTGTTACGTCATTATTAATTGAATAAATAAAAAAGTAACTGGGTGGCAACAGAAAGAGAGTGTGTGTGTGTGAGGGAGGAAGAATGTGAGGGGGGTACATTTGTAATTTTTTGCTTGAATTGAAATTCATTCATTATTACTAATCTTACTAACTACCTTCATGTATCTAAGATTAAGTATCATGTAGAGGTTCCATTGTTTTGCTGAATAGATTGCATCTATCTTGTCTTGTAGTATGTAGGTTTGTATGTGTGTATGTATGTGAATGTTAGCTTTTCATGTTTCTTATATATGTGATTACTTGTTAAAGTGGATACTATTGTTACTATGAAACATTGTGTAATAACCTTCACTTTATTTCACTTTGCTTCATGTATCTATTATGTAATATATGGAACCATATAGTTGATTTATGATGTAATCATTAATCAAGTCCTTCTTTAGTACATATCGAATGCTATTGATGAAGTTGTAATGTGGCCACCAATCTATATGACTTAACATTGCGTGCACTATGTTGATATAAGATGGTGATTAGAGGTAGTCAACAGGAAACCCTTTACCCCGGTTTCGTGCTACTTGGCACTCGTCAGCAAGGTGCATCTGTGATCTTAAGAACCTGATACATCATCCAGTGATCAATCAATTGTAAATACATCTTAGACCTACAGGAATTCAGTCTCAGATTAGATAGACCAGTGGTGACACGGGATCCAGTCTCTCATGTAGCATCATTTCTATCAAGATTACAGGTACATATTGCTGACAAGTGTCAAGTAGCATGAAACCTAAGTCCAGAATTTACTGTCAACTTTATCCAACCACCATATTATCTTAATAATTTGACACGTTTAAAGTCGGTAAGTAAGAGGATTTTTATCAAAAAATAGTAGCGAAAGGTACTGGTGGTTCGAGTCCCAGAGTGAACATCAACAAATCTGAGATGCAGGTACATCCAGATGACGAGTCCCAAACAGGATGAAGTGACGCGCCTCAAAATGGATTCCACTACTAGCCACTATCTATCTTTCCTTACTATGTATAAAATATTTCTATAAAAATTATCAATGTAATTCATATATTTTCCTAAAAATTGATTACGTAATCATATATACATATATATGTATACTTACAGTTAAAATGATCCATCTAGATCATCCTGATATGATTACAGAAGACTGTAAGTGTTCCCTTTTTTTTCTCTCTGTTTCCCCCCTCTCTATCTTTCTCTCCCTAAATTTAATCTTTCCTCATTCAACTAACAAATTAGTTATTTTAAAAAAAAGTCCAAAAAAAAAGAGAAAAGTAATTAAAAGTTACTTAATGGATTTCTTGAAAAAAAAGAAAAGAAAAAGAAAAGAAAAAAAAGAAAAACAAGAAACAATTGTGCATGTTGACTTTTCTTCTTCTTCTTTTCTTTAAATTTTTTCTCTGATAAATAATCAAAATCATCCCCCCCTTATTTATGTTTGTATGTGCATATGTACGTGTGCGTGTGTATGTATGTACGTGTGTGTGTATGTATGTATATACTGTATATGTACTTGTGAGATTGTCACCATACCAATTAATTAATTAATCAATTACATTTTTTGATTAAAAAAAATTTGTCTCCTCATCAATTTATTTTTTTTTTCAAAATTCATTCATTAATGTAGCCATGGTAACATGAAATTTATTGAATGAATTCAATGTATTTACTTACAATGATTGCATGAAAATTAAAAAAAAACAAAACAAAAGCGAGGGAGAGGGGGAGAAGAAAAGAAAAAAACATGATTTTCTTTGTTTTAAAATAAAATGATTGATAATTCTTGAATTAAATTCGAATGATATATATCTTAATTTTGCTATATATCTTTTGTCCTAGTATGAGACTCGTCTGTAGTACACATCTATGATCCTGTATTAAAGGTACTTGAATTGAGGATCTTTGGTCTGGCACACTAACGCTTAACCTCCAGAGCATTGAGTCGGCACCCATCTAGTGAAAAACCGTTGCCAATGGAATTTAACCGTGTCTGTTGTGAGACAGTAAATCATTGATGATAATGATGGACAATTATGAAATTTGGTGGATTGTTTGAAATTAGATATTAACACCATTGGATACCAGCCAGTCCAGTGGTCTAAAGGTTAAGCGTTCGATAGCGAGATTGAGGGTCCTGAGTATGTATCCATTTGGTGTGAGATCATGGATGTATACTGCAGAGGATTCCCATACCAGGACGAAACAGTCATCCAGTGGTTGCAGGTTTCCCATAGTTACTTACTTACTTACTTTCGCCTGTTACTCCCAATGGAGCATAGGCCGCCGACCAGCTTTCTCCAACCCACTCTGTCCTGGGCCTTCTTTTCTAGTTCTTTCCAGTTCTTGTTCATTCTTCTCATGTCTGTCTCCATTTCTCGGCGTAATGTGTTCTTTGGTCTTCCTCTTCTCCTTCGACCTTCAGGATTCCATGTGAGGGCTTGTCTTGTGACACAATTGGGTGATTTCCTCAAAGTGTGCCCAATCCACTTCCAGCGCTTCTTCCTGATTTCTTCCTCCGCTGGAATCTGGTTTGTTCTCTCCCACAGTAACTTGTTGCTGATAGTGTCTGGCCATCGGATCCGAAGTATCTTGCGTAGACAGCTGTTAATAAACACTTGTATCTTCTGGATAATGCCTTTCGTAGTTCTCCACGTCTCTGCCCCATACAGAAGAACTGTCTTGACATTTGTATTGAAAATTCTAACCTTGGTGTTGGTTGACAATTGTTTTGAGCTCCAGATGTTTTTCAGCTGTAGGTATGCTGCTCTTGCTTTGCCGATCCTCGCCCTCACATCTGCATCTGATCCACCGTGTTCATCAATGATGCTGCCCAGATATGTAAAGATTTCCACATCCTCCAAAGCTTCTCCGTCAAGTGTAATTGGATTGGTGCATATTGTATTGTATCGGAGAGTCTTGCTTTTCCCTTTCTTTATATTGAGACCTACTGCTGCTGAGGCTGCTGCTACACTGGTCGTTTTCTCCTGCATTTGTTGTTGCGTTTGTGATAGAAGAGCCAGATCATCCGCGAAGTCTAAATCGTCAAGCTGCATCCTGCCTGTCCACTGTATCCCGTGCATTCCTCCAGATGTTGACGCCTTCATAATCCAGTCGATCACCAGGAGAAAGAGAAAGGGTGAGAGTAGGCAACCTTGCCTAACACCGGTCTTTACCTCGAACGAGTCGGTGAGTTGTCCTCCGTGGACGATTTGGCAGTTTAGTCCATCATAGGAGTTCCGTATGATATTTACTATCTTCTCAGGCACACCGTAGTGTCGAAGAAGCTTCCACAGTGTCGTCCTGTCCACGCTATCAAATGCCTTCTCGTAGTCGATGAAGTTGATGTACAGTGATGAATTCCATTCGATTGATTGTTCCACAATGATACGTAGAGTTGCGATTTGATCTGTGCACGATCTATCCTTACGAAATCCAGCTTGTTGATCTCGAAGTTGAGCGTCCACGGAATCCTTCATCCTGTTTAACAATACTCTGTTGAAGACTTTTCCTGGTATTGAGAGGAGAGTGATGCCTCTGTAGTTGTCGCACTTGCTCAGATCGCCTTTCTTTGGTATCTTGATGAGAAGTCCTTCTTTCCAGTCTGTTGGTACATGTTCTTCGTCCCAAATCTTACCGAAGAGGATGTGGAGTATCTTGGCAGTTGCTGTTACATTTGCTTTCAGTGCCTCTGCCGGGATGTTGTCTGGTCCCGCTGCTTTGCCACTCTTGATTTGTCTAATGGCCATGCTGATCTCTTCAATTGTTGGTGGGCCAATATCGATTGGGAGGTCTGTGGGTGCTGCTTCGATGTTGGGTGGGTTCAGTGGAGCTGGTCGATTCAAGAGTTCTTTGAAGTGTTCTACCCACCTGTTTCGTTGTTCTTCAATATCGTTGATTACTTTGCCTTCCTTGTTTTTCACTGGTCTTTCTGGTTGACGGTAATTTCCAGCAAGTTTCTTTGTTGTATCATACAGTTGTCTCATGTTTCCCTCTCTTGCAGCCTTTTCCGCTGTCATCGCTAAATCTTCCACGTATTTACGTCGGTCGGTCCTGATGCTCCTCTTCACTTGCTTGTTTGCCTCTGTGTATTCGGCTTGTGCCTTGGCTTTTTCTGCTCTTGTTCGGCTGATATTGATTGCTACCTTCTTGTTCCTCCTTGCTTCAATTTTATCCAGTGTACCAACAGTGATCCATTCCTTGTGATGGTGCTTCTTTTGGCCCAGAACCTCCTGACATGTTGAAACGATTGCCTCCTTGATACCTTTCCAGCTGCTCTCTATGGTGGTTCCCTCTTCATTGAGTAGGTTATGAAAGGCCTGGAACCTGTTGCTGAGGGCTATGTTAAATTCGTTGAGTTTGTCAGCATCTCGAAGAAAGGCCGTGTTAAACTTTTGTGATGTTGTCCGCGCCATTGTCCAGTGCTTCTTGAGTTTTAGTTTCATCTTGGCGACCAGCAAATGGTGATCGGATGCTATATCAGCTCCTCTCCTGGTTCTCACATCCTCCATCGTCCTCCTGAACTTTTTGTTGATGCAGACATGGTCGATTTGATTCTGTGTAGTGTGATCCGGTGAAATCCAAGTGGCTTTGTGTATGTTTTTGTGTGGGAATATGGTGCCACCTATGACCAGTTTATTGAAGGCACATAGGTTTGCAAATCTCTCACCGTTTTCGTTCCTTCCTCCCAGTCCATGTTGTCCCATGACGTCTTCGTATCCAGTGTTGTCCTTTCCAACCTTGGCATTGAAATCTCCCATTAGAATGGTCAGGTCCTTGGTTGGGCACTTCTCGAAGATTGACTGCAGCCTATCGTAGAATTGGTTTTTAGCGTCTTCATCGTAGTCGTTGGTCGGCGCATAGCATTGGATGATGTTCATTGTAATGCCCTCTCTCTTTGTTCTGAAGGAGGCTTTGATGATCCTCGGTCCATGAGATTCCCATCCTATAAGTGCATTTTGTGCTTTTCTAGACAGCATCAGTGCCACTCCTTGTGTATGTGGGGCATTTTCTTCTTCATGACCTGAGTATAACAGAAGTTCCCCTGAAGACAGTCGTTGTTGTCCAACCTGCGTCCAATGTGTTTCACTGATTCCAAGCACTTCCAGGTTGTATTTCCTCATTTCCGCAGAAATTTGGAAGACTCTGCCGGTCTCCCACATTGTCCGGACATTCCATGTACCTATAAAAATTGTCGCTCTGGTTGTAAGAAGGTGCATCGGCCTCATGACTTCCGAAGGAACTCGGCTTTCATAATGAGACGTCATTTTTCCTTCTACTCCCAGGGCAGAGTTTGAATGGTTTGAATGAATTTTTCTGGTTAGCGTTTTTTTAGCGAGTTGATTTTCTACGGGATGGGGTCGCTAACCCCATGCCCAACCCTCCTCCTTTACCCGGGCTTGGGACCGGCAGTAGCCCCTGGAGGAGCTACAGGCGGAGTTGGTTTCCCATAGTGGTTTAGCATTAATTCACTCATGAATTCAACTATCAAATTATTAATCAAGATCTTTATAAAACTCCTTTCTGATTTCTATTGGTCAATTAGGCACATTAAAGTAATCTGTGCTAAACAGATAATTTCAACGTTTTACTGAAGATAGTTTGGTGACATAGCTATGACATGCCATAAGGACTATTCATGTACACCTTGTCTGGGTGATACAAAACTGAATACTTATTTCTTGGATGATGAAATAATTGAGATTTATGTTCGTTGGTGAATAATCGTTTAGTTGTAGGTATTATGTTAACATGTTGATTATAACAATCTATAAGAGTGACATTGAAATGTTTCATTCATTGTCTAAGGTGAATAACTATCTCCAACCGACATCGATTGGACTTTACTTTATTTTGAAATGAAATAAAATAATATGGTTTTTGATAAAGATTTTATTCTACTTCATCATTTATAAGTAATATTAAATGCCCTGGTATAGCCGAGAGTGCGGAGAGTCCGCTCTCCCTCTCTAAATGCTCTCACACGGTCACACGTATATAGCATCTGCCAGGGAAGTCCTACTCACTGCCTTCTCATAGCATTACTGTTGTTTACGAAAATGAGAGGACGAAAAGCGAATGCCCGGCGCTTTAACCGGGTTGGTGGACACGGAAAGTCCACCTAGAGGGTGTGTTGGAAAACTCTGATCCCAAACCAATGGTGCACATGGGCTTCAGTATCTTGAGGGTACAAATAGTGTATGAATCAATCGTCGGTCACCGGCTATTATGGGACTGAATTTTCTTACAATGCTCCACTTCCTTGTGGATCAGACCTTTAGGTCAATGACTCGGGATGTGACCCCTTAAGAACACCACTGCTTTGATCTGGGCACCCGGGCAGCATCATAGCCCTCACACGATTAAATGAAAAGACAATTTTCTGTGTGGCGCATATGTATCTGTTGCCTCCTTGTACCAATATTTATGTATTCAAATGAATAAATAAATCATGTGTAAAATCATAAAATTATGACATTTAATGATCTCGAAACATCATCCGATGCCGGCTCAGTGGTCTATCGGTTAAGTGCTCTGGCGCAAGATTGGTAGGTCATGGATTCGAATCTCGCGAGGCGAGATCGTATATGCGCACTGTCACTGAGGAGTCCCACAATAGGACGAATCGGCCGTGCAGTGTTTCCAGGTTTTCCTTGGTGGTCTAGCTTCAATTGACTCACGCTTTCAACTAAGAAAGTTTTCTAAACTATTAATGTGAATGTACATTGATTCAGATAATAAGGTAACTCTCACTAAATGGTTGTAAATTATGATTCTTTTTCCATATTACTTATCACTATTCATGTGTTAAGTCTTAAAACATGAAGGTAACTATACATAACACCATTAAATGGTTCCTATACTTAACCAATAAAGTTATTTCAACACATTAATTGTGCTAATCAGTTAGTGATTAACATGACTTTTTCAAGGATTATGATTTTTCAAAAAATTTGTCTTTTATATAACCCAGTGTTCTCATCAGGATTTTTATTATCAGTATGAGGTTGTAAAGATTACTGAGTTTTTGATTGAGATCACGAATTGATCAACGTTAGATCATCGTTGGAAACCTAGAAGGATTGAACAGCCACTTTGTCCTAGTATGCTATTCCTCTCATAGTGATAACTTTCATGTGTTCACTAGTGATTAGCTTTGACAGGTAATTCTCAGGGGTTTTAATGAGAATCCATGACTAGTAGAGTCGGGTATAAGACAGTTATTGTTATAACTTGTGGCCGAGTGGATGCCTTGTTAACGTATGACGTGCTAAGGCCGTCTATCAGGGAGCAGCAATTAATCGATTGCAAAACAGTAATACACGAAAACCGTACGAGTAGTCTAGAATACTTATCGGCACTCCCAAAGTTACCATTCATTACCCATATCGGGGTATAACACACCTCCCCTTTTTTGGAAGATCCAGAGTTGATGTCCGGATCTCGAATTTCCCGAATAGTCATACATATCAAACATAAATGAAGGTGTATGCATTATCATGGATCGATTGAACTTAGCTATTAACATCATCGGATGCCAGATTAGTGATCTAGAAGTCAAGTGTTCTCATGAGGGACCCAAAGTCCTATGTTCGAGACCCTTTGATTTAGGATCGTCAATGCGCACTATTGAGTAGCCCCATACTAGGACGAAACGGCCATCCAATACTTCCAGGTTTTCCATGGTGATTAAGCTTTAATTGACTCATGAATTCAATCATCAAATGATCTAAATTACTTTTATTTCTATAGATTCTATTAACATTGTAACTCATTAATTATCTTATGCACGGCAGTTAAAACGTGGGTAAATATTAATCTTTGATATGATATATCTATGTGTATAAAACGATTATTGAATTTTGCACGATCATTAATCATGAATGGACAATTTATTCCCCACCCCCTAATACCCCTTCCTTTCTTTTATCATCTTAGTGATATGTTTGTTCTCCCCCTCTTTTTATATTTGTGTATCTATGTATATTAACCTAATTCTTATTATGTAAATGTTTATAATGATTAACCCCTAACAGTCAGTTTTTCATGAGACCTAATTGTAATCATCATTCTGTGTACAATTATGGTATCTATTTTGCTTATTAACAATGACTACTGACTATTAGAATAGAATTCATAGGATACTTCTACTACTACGTCTTCTTTTTGAATCTAATACCGCCTCTTTTTTCCCTCTTTTTTTTTGTTGGCGTTTTTCATTGCTTTTCATCTGGTAATTCCTTCATGAAACTGGGAAACTGACGTCTACTTCTATCAAAAAACTATATTTTTGTATTATTGAATATTTGGCATTGTGCCAATTATTTGAACTATAATTAGATGAAGAACAAACTAAATCAATTCAATTAGATCGTCCAGCTAGAGAACTTTTAATATGGTCTATATTAGTTGGAAAATTACGTATGGCTGAATTATTTTGGACTATGGAAAAAGTAATTAGAATCATATTTCATTTATTATATCATGTTTTATCTAGTATATTAGATTGAATATCTTTAGGATCGTAAGAGATATTATACTTGTAAAGATGTTCATCATGGTATTTCAGTCAGTAAAAGTTGGTCAAACAACACGAGGTCTTTTCACAACGCTGCGGAATATTAAACGCAACCTTGCTAGTTAACTTGGGCGGTTGGTAGAGATCGAACTAATCCTTCACTCTGTTGTAAACTGGATTAATTAGAGTTTCCAAATTTGAAGGTCTCAATCCTTTGAACTGCCAGATGTGTATATTTATGTATGAGTCTTGGATTTTGTAATTCTCTATGTAGTTCTACTCAAAGGGTACGCACCGGACTTGTATCAAGAAAGTAAGAAGAAATATCTGCCTTATGTCTAACAAAATTAGCGGCCTAGTTCAACAGACTGAAGACATAACAGAAAAATATGGTGTCATATACTAGAGAGAGGTAACCATCAATTCTTCCTGAGAGTGCTTATGCTTATGCATATGTTATGAATTGCATGGATGAAAGTCGTTTTACCGGTGGTATAGATGTAATACATAAGAGATAGTTAGTTTTAACAAATACGTTCAAGGAAGTGGTGATCATCTACATTCCCAAGTGGGTGAATATACGTATATGCAGTTTGTAGGATTCATTAGTGCGAATTTATATGTTCTTAATGTACACTTGACATATACTGGCCCCTCATAAGGAGCCCGCGAGTCAAGACCGGCAGGTTCCGATTTATCCACGAAATCACATCCGCGTGGTGTGTTCGTGAGCTTCAATACACTGAGATCTCTGCCAGAATAGCTACACTGAATTCAGCAAATTATTTCCAGCATCATTTTTAATACTCATACCTGCGGAAATGTTATTAAAGACAGTGTATATCAGGGACATGTTTTGAACTACTTTGAGTTCTTCCCAATATTTATGGCAAACACATTGAGGTTCAAAGCGAATGGTTTATCATACTAAACACGTCTTTAAAATATTGGATCAAGTTCACTTGAACCTGTGAGTTGTATCTATCAAATGCGAAGGCTGAATCCTCTTTCCTAATTGTAATTAGTTAAAATAAATCGACTATTGGAACCGACTATTAGAGTTTAGAGTAACTCAATACATCTCCTAACTCATTACAGTTTTCTTCTTACATGGTGAATATATAGTCACACGGTAGGTTATTGAATTGCTATTTTAATGAATACGATTCAGTATGGGAATTCGTGGAAATGACAGTATGTTCACAGGTGAATTCTCTCGTGCAGGATAGTAGATGCACACTACTGAGGAGTCCCATAGTAAGACAAGACGGCCGACCATAGCTTTCAAGTTTTCAATGATGGTTGATTCATGAATTCAACTGTGAAAATACGACCCAGTTTAACTTAAACAAATGAGACTCCTAATTTAACTGCAAATAAATTGTTTAAACAGTGGTACACTGATGCATCAGTTCGATTTATTTTGGAAGATAAATAAATCCTTGCTATTAGTCTTTGATTATGTACTTCACCCAGTTTCTCCTCGCTTCAAATTGTCGTAAGATAGTCTGAATTTATTAGAACTGTCTAGGTAATCGAATTCAGGATTCAATTTGTAGAATTATCAAACTTTTCAATGGTTTGGAGGAGTAGCAGCTCAATGGTCTGAGTATTAGCACCGGATACAAGACAGAACGTGATAAATTCCAACCTCAGCGCTTCTCAGTTTATAAAGTTTCTTAAATAATCAATGTTTTTCATGGTGCGGCTAGCTGAATACTCACTGTATGTTACAAATTATTGCTCGCGTTTGCGAGCGAGATGGAAAAACCTCGGTTCGGTCCCCGCTTGCAGGGTCATGGTTGCATATTTCTGAGGAATCCTACACAAATGTTATCAGGTTTCCAACGATGGTCTGATATTATTCCATTCATTATTTCAATGAGACTCAACAATTTCTACAACCTTATACTTTTAATATAATCTAGTTTTTGTATTTAATTTACAGGAGCCTATCGCAGCTGCTCTATTAGCTTCAATTCTATTGACGTCTTTAGGGAATAAAACAGATGACTTTACTGATAAAGAAGATTACAGAAGCTTTGCAAAGTAAGTATATTGTCTTTTATTATTATTATTCTGAATAGATTTAACATGAGTTCTTGGATTGTTGCTACTGTCATTGATAATTTGATCTGTGTGAGTTGGCTTTCGATATACTTGAGTCTCCAGTTTTTCTTTGTCGGTTCTGATCATAAGTACGTCCAAGAATGATAGTTTGTTGTTTAACTCCTTTCACATTGTGAATTTTATGTCATCGAAGAAATTGTTGATCAGATTGTAGGAGTTTTCCAGCTCGTCCTTCTTGATGATGACGAATATGTCGTCTACATAACCAATTCAATTTTTTGACTTAGTCACTAGTAAGATAGGGGCTCCCAGTCTCTGAATCACTTCTGCAATAAGTCTTGATTTTGGGGATTCCATCAGTGGCCCTTTCGTTTGTTCATAGACTTTTTTTCATTAAATTGAAAATATGTTGTTAAGCATAAATAGATGAGTTATATTAAACTTTCACTTTGAAGCCTCGTGTACTTTGGGAGATTCGCGTCGTTGGTGAGAACTAGGAATAGAGTCCCCTTTGATAAGTTTGATCTAATTGACATGAATAAGAATGTTACATCAAAGGATATCATTAGTTCGTTTTTGTTGATTTGAATGTCTTTGATCTGATCCAGGGATTGTATAAAGAATTTAATGGAGTGGTTGGATTAATCTAATAAATGTTTTAATATTTATGAAATTTCACCTGACAAATTGTATGTTAGGGTTATGCGGAGTGCTACAGTTGGACGTCGTATAATGTTTGGTTTGTGTATTTTCGTTCTACCGTAGAATCGAAGGAGTAATGCTCCATTGGATTTCATTTTCCACTGATCTTGTTATGATATATGTCCTACTTTGATAAACTATAATGAAAGTTATGTTTTCTGAATGATATATTGAGGATTCCCATACTAGGACGAAATGGACGTACGATACTTCCAGATTGTCAATGTTGATCTAACTTAGATCAACTCACGGATTCAATCATGATAATCTGAATAAATCTTACGAATTATAATAAATTAATTAATTGAAGCTAGACCGCCAAGGAAAACCTGAGAGCACTGGACGGCCGTTTCGTCCTATTGTGGAACTCCTCAGTGGCAGTGAGCATCCACGATGTCACTTCGCAAGATTCGAACTTAGGATCTACCAGTCTTGTGCCAGAGCATTTTTTCTTGGCGGTTTAGCTTCAATGAACTCATGCTTTCAACTATGAATTAATCTTTTTTACTAATTCCCATCTTCTTCTTCTTCTTCTTCTTCTTCCTTGTACCTATTTCTTTTGATAGAAATTTTCAAGAACGTGCTGAAGGTGTTCTAAATGAATGTTATCGTGAAGATGAACATAGAACCCAATTAATTATAAATCATGAATTAATTTATTATGGTCGTAGTTCAGTTATTAAATTAGCTGCTGAAGGTCAAAGTATCAAATTTATGGCACATCCATGTTGTCAAGATTTTCTTACCAATACATGGAGTGGTAATTTATCAACTAAAAATAGTGTATTTAGGGTAATTTCTATATCTTGATTGATTATTTTTTGATTGATTATAGTTACTTACTTACTTACTTACGCCTGTTACCCCTTGTGGAGGAGCATAGGCCGCCTACCAGCATTCTTCACCCAATTCTGTTCTGGGCAATCTTTTTCAGTTCTTTCCAGTTTTTATTCATCTTTTTCATATCTGATTATTCCTTTAACTCTCAGGGCAGAGTTTAAATGGTCTGAATTATTTTTTTCTGGTTAGCGTTCTTTTAGTGAGTTAGTTTTTTCTACAGGATGAGGTCGCTAACCCCATGCTCAACTCTCTTCCTTTACCAGGGCTTGGAACCGGGTTATCAACTCAGAACTCTATTTGACGAAGTTTTGTTCTCTGAACTAAATAGTTTTGTCGTGGATCTTTGATTATTCTTCTGAACAACATCATCAACATGAACTTTGGGTAGAAGTCTACTCACAGCTCGTCAAGATCGAAGTTGATAGTATAATCTATGAGTTACATTTGAAGAAATTTGAATATTTCACTTCTACTTGAAGTTTGTGTTGATGATGTTGTTTAGAAGAACGATGAAAGCTCCATGAACGAAATACCATCAAAACTGCTAACTTGAATTGTAAATCTTCAATATCTGAAAGATCATTCAAGAAGAATGAAAGCGATTTAGACAGAAAAAAAGTTCTCTTTTCAAAGATATCATTTACCCAAATTATACAATCGTATTTGGAGATGTTTGGAGGGTTCGCACTTTTTGCAGTCTATGCAATCTGCATTACAAAAGAAAGTGAACTTATAAATACACATTGATGTGGTGTAATGAGGGGGTTGGTACTTGACACAATTACGAATGATGAGGAGGCTGGAAAAAACAATGCGAAGCTTGTGATCGTGAAAAGGCTTCCTCATAGAATTCATTAGATGATTCTTCAAATTCATAAAGTTGAATCTCAACTGAACTGTATGTTCATAGAGAATGTTTTCATGAGAACTGTATGAGGTCTTAAAGATTGTAGTTCTGGTTTAATGTCTCGCTCAGTAAGCATGGTAAGATAACCATTTTTTAGAATTATCTTTCAGAGGTTGTAGAGTCCGTCGTCTGTTGTATCTTCGAAGTACATTTACCTAAACCTTGAAGATAAAGGTTCGATTAACTTTATCTTTAAGCTGGTTCCTTTCGAGCATATTCTTTAAAACTCAATGTTCATGAAGAGAATCTTCTTCGTCTTTGGGGTCTGTCATGTTGTTGTTTTGGTTTCAGACATTGCTCAATCAATCTAGGTGGATATCCTTTGCTGATCAATATTTGTCGTAATCTATTAAGTTCCATATCGATTATATCCCAGCCACAGATTCGTTGACCACATGTGTAGAGAGAGCGAATTAAATATCCATCTGGCTTCAAAAGTAATCAACATTGGAAATTCATATATTGACCACTAATGATTGACATTCGGTATATCTATCGTTGTACAGAGCCATCAGATCCCTACTTATTGACTATTTCCAAATGCCCTGGTACGGTCGACTGTGGAGAGAGTCAACTCTCCCTTTCCAAATGCTCTCACATGAACACGCATATACAGCCACTTACACGAAAGTCCTACTCACTAACTTCTCACGGCATTACTTATGTTTACGAAATTGAAAGGACGAAAAGTTGATTATCGTCGCTTTAGCCGGGTTGAAGGATATGGAGGATCCATCTAGTGGAGTTGGAAAACCTTGATTCTATACCAATGATACACATGTGCTCCAGGATCCTAAGAGAACAAATAGGATATGAACAAGATTTTGTGATTGGCTACCATGAGACTGAATGCCCTTATGTTGCTCCACTGCCTTGTGGATCAGACCTTTAGGTGGAAGGTTCCAGGTGTGGCCTCCTATGAAAACTACCTGCTTCTGTCTGAGCACCCGTTCATTACCATAGCCCACACACAAATCAATGATAACCGCTATTGGCCTCATTGTTATTGTGTGTTACATAAGTATATGATCCCCCCTGGCACCAGTGTTTATGTGTTCAAATAAATACTAAGATAATAATAACGTTAAAAAGAAAAAAAGGAATTTCGTTATCAGAAGGGGTTTTGTGGAGATTTAGTATTTTCGCAGTTGAAAGCTTGAGTCAAATGAAGCTAGACCACCATGGAAAACCTGGAATCACTGGACGGCCGTTTCGTCTTATTGTGGGACTCCTCAGTGGCAGTGTACATCCAAGATCCCTCACTCGCGGCCGTCCAGTGCTTTCAGGTTTTCCATGGTGATCTAGCTTCAATTGACTTAAGCTTTCAACTATGAGAAAAGAAATTCAAAATTTGCAATCACGTACTGTCATCCTTACATTCGAACTATAGAGTACCTTTGTAACATATGAAACCTATACAATTCAATAAGTTATTTGCACACCTTTCTTCAGTTGTCCTTCATATCCTTCATAATTCCTTTGTTTTTGTTGTTATTACAATTACACTCTGTTTTTCTTCCTGTTATCTTCAATTCAATCTACTCAATATTTTACTGGCGGGCATTCCACATCCGATTGTTGCTACTTACTACTTATAACTATCAACGTAAGTAGTATACACCACAATAAGTCTATTTGTTACCGTTAGTGTTATTCCTTACCAAAAACATTAGTATTTGAAATAAATTATACTGTTATCAAACTTATACCCTAATACTGTGAATTTATTTTTATTGGTAAATATGTATGCTACTTATAATGATAATCAGTAGTTTCATCAACATTATTTTTTTCCTTTAACATTTAGTATATTATGGGAGTTGTTTGTGGTTTGACATTACCATTTTTAATACCAAAAGTTATATTATCCAAGCCTAAAACAAATCCAACTACTGAAGGAGAAGTAAGATATAGTTTTTCTTTCTATTACCTTATTTGATGTTTATGGTTAAATGTAAAAGTGTTGTACTAATTCACTTGGTATTGTTTGTTTGGATCTTCCCATCGATGTGTTTAGGACTGCAACTGGTCAGTCTCTAATTGGCATATGTGCATACTGTGCGTATTGCCTCGATATACCTTAATTCACAAGCATGGTAAGCAGAGATGGATAGTGGTCCTCCTGATGGCCACTTGCTTGTGCGATGGGGTGAAGTTTGAATTCATTTGGTATTGTTTGTTTGGATCTTCCCATCGATGTGTTTTGGACTGCAACTTGATGGCCACTTGCTTGTGCGATGGAGTGAAGTTTGAATTCACTTCAGGACTCAGTGGCCGAGTGGATAACGCGATGGCGTTTGAAGCGAGGGTACTGGGTTCGAGTCCCAGAGTGAACATCAACTCTGAGATGCAGGTACATCCAGCTGACGAGTCCCAAATGGGACGAAACGTGCGTCCTGGATTCCACTGCTAGCCACTATCCATCTTTGCTTACCAGTTGTACTAATGTCTATTTTGAACAAAATGTCGATTCTCCGTATGGGGTTGTGGAGATTATTAAGTTTTAAGTGAGATCATAAACTAGTCAATGTTAGATCACCATTTAAAACCTGGAAGTACTGAGCTTAGTAGTCTAGAGGTTAGGTGTTCTCGCGCGAGACCGAAGGTCCTGGGTTCGAGTCCTGTATCTGGTATCATGAATTTACACTGCTAAGGAGTTTCATACTAGGATGAAACGGCCATCCAGCGCTTCTAGGCTTTTGATAATGGTCTAGCTTAGATTGACTTATAAATTCAACTATGAAAATACTGCAATCTTCACAAATCCATATGAAGATAATTAATAGTTAATTGATGCAGTTTATGCTACTAACATATATTTAAAAGTAGTTCCTATAATAGAGTGTTACCTTTGAAAGATCTATTGAAGACTATATTCACACATAATATCTGAAGTTCAAATGACAAGCGAAAATGATCTAGATCAGTGTGAAGAGGAATTCAATTATTCCACTTATGAGTATGAGGTTGTGGAGATGATTATGTTTTTGATTGAGATCATGAACCAATTGATGTTGGATCATCATTGAAAATCTGAGAGCTATTGACGGTCATTTAGTCCTATTAATGTACTCCTCAGCAGTGGGTATCCACGTACACATTTAACCACTAGAAATGGGTTTTCTCAGAGCTTCTCAATTGTTATTATTACTAGTGTATTGACCGAGAACGCAGGCGGCGACTACCAAATGTACTTAAACACAAAATTACAGGATCACTTAACACGATCTGAGAACCATACAGTAAATACTTCATTTGCAAAATGTCAGTCGACTGTCCCAAACTTGACTGTTCTTTCGTTTTCACATCAATCACTCTCTGTCCTCAATCTCTTTTCTTTCATCTTCTTGACCTTCTTTCGCCAATCATCCCACTTTCAATCAATCATACATACTACTTATATCTATCGACATCAGTAGCACACATCACATTAGTCAGTGTTCAGAACTGGACGAAAGAAATCTGTTAGAAATATTTGTCGATTAGGCGTTAAAATTGATGCTTCATCTCTATCTAATTTCCTTTTTATTTTATTCCCTTGAGACTCATGGATGTATATACAATACGTGACAGTATTTCTGGGTTTTTTTTATATTGCTAGGAATCAAGTCCTACTTCTGAACAACAAGCATCTACACAAAATAATCATACTATGAAATATGTCTTAACTGCAGAAGATGCTGGTAAAAAAGGGTAAGTTTCTATTAATCAACCTTGAAATCAGATAGTAGAGAAGATTTGTAGCTTAGATGGGTGATTTTGATGGAGTTTTGTTCTCTGAGATGGAAGGTTTGGTCGTGGAGCTTTCATTGTCCTTCTGAAGTTTGTACTGATGATGTCGTTCAGAAGGATGATGAAAGCTCCATGACCAAACCATCCATCTCAGAGAATAAAACTCTATCAAAAAAAAAACTTTGAAATCAACATAAACTTTAGTCTTGATCCATATACATACAAACTAATTTGTAATTGCAATGGACATGATTATTTATACAATTGTTTATCTGACCTTGAACTCACTTCTGGTCTAAGCATTTCGATTATCTGACATAGAATTTCGAGGTATGATATTATTTATAGTTGAGATCATGAGTCAATTGAAGCTAGACCACCATTGAAAACTCAAAAGCACTGAATGATCGTTTCGTTCTAGTAAGCGACTCAGCAGTGCACAGCTACGATTTTACACCGAAAGGAATTGAACCGAGAATCTTTAGTCTCGCACACGGATGCTTCACTTCTAGACCACTAAGCCGGAATCTAACGGTTTTAGTGTCTTACTTCATCGAATCCACGATTTTGAGAGGCCTTGTTTTCTTTGTCTTCAATGGGTAAATACCTCACAACAGAAATTGTTGAACTCCACTGATCACAGTTTCTCACGAGGACTCCAAGAATTACCTCTCTAAGTAAGTCACTAGTGACTAATGACAATACATGTTTATCGAAGCGTCAACCATATCATTATTTTTTATTTAAACTACTCTAAATCAATTCTTTTAAAATAACAATCCTGATTTTATTATATTTCAGCGTTCGGAAAACATTACAGGCTAGAACCGTGGAATATATTTCACAGATTCGTGACTTTTATATGGCACCAGTTGTTCGTTTTGTGTATAATACTGTAAGTTGATAATTTATTTTTTTGAAAATAAGTGAATTTAAACTTTACCCTAATGCACAAGATAGTGACTATCATGACTCACTTGCTAAGTGGATAATGCGATTGCATTTGAGACGAACATTACTGGGTCCGAGTCCCAAAGTGGAAATCAACTCTGTGATGCAGGTACATTTATTTGACGAGTCCTAAATAAGATGAAACACGCGTCCTGGATTCCATTGCTACCCACTATCGATCTTTGATTGTATTGTCAAAATTGTTCAATTGATAATGTGTTATGTAATAGTATTACATATTCTAAAGTATTTCAGAAGAACGATGAAAGCTCCACAGCCAAACCATAATGTAATATAGAAAATCAACAACATGATCATTAAAACAATTTCATATTGGCCTCCAAATGCCCTGGTACAGCCGACGGTGAAGAGAGTCAACTCTCCCTATACAAATGCTCTCACATCGCCACCTATATACAGCCACTGACAGGGAAGTCTTACTCATTGCCTACTCATGACATTACTGTTGTTTACGAAATTGAAAGCATGAAAAATGAATGTCTGGCGCCTTAACCAGGTTGATGGATTTGAAGAATCCATTTAATGGGGCATCGTGAGGGGATGCAGTGCTATGGTAGACGGTGACCAACAATTGGTTCATATGCCATCAATATACTGGAGCCCATTTGTATCATTGGTTTAGAATCAGGGTTTTCCAACTATCCTATGTAGACTTTCCATGTCCACCAGCCCGGTTAAAGTGCCTCACATTCGCTTTTCGTCCTCTCACTTTTGTAAGCAATGCCCCCGCCAAGAGAAGGTAGTGATTATATTATACCATTTTCTTTGTTTTATTTACTTATCTTTTGGATGCTAGACCACCATGGGAAATCTGAATGCATTGGACGGCCGTTTTGCTCTATTGTGAGACTCCTCAACAGTGGTCGGTTGCTGTTGAAGTTAGACATTAACACTGTTGGATTCCGGCCGGCCCAATGATCTAGAAGTTAAGCTGTCGTATGCGAAACTGATAAGTCCTGGGTTGAAATCTTGCGAGACGGGATCGTAGATGCGCACTACTGAGGAGTCCCATACTAGAACTAAACAGCTTTCTAGTACTTCCAGGTTTTCTATGATGGTGATCTACCTTCCATTTGACTCATGATTTCAACTATATAAAATTACTAAAAATCTCCACAAAGACCCCCTCCTATCTGATCATTCTTTTGTTCTTTTCTTTTCAGATTTCATATATTACATTTCTCATCTTATTCAGTTATCTATTATTAGTTGATTTTCGTATAAATATAACAGTTGTTGAATATATTGTTATTGCTTGGGTTATTACATTATTTATAGAAGAAATTAAACAGGTAATTCAAATGGTTACAGTTTTTGTTTTATTGTTGTTGATAGTCATAGTTAAATTCATGAGTCGATGAAAGGCAGATCATCATCGAAAACGGCGAGACTGTAATTTATATATGAGCCAATTTGAAACCTTCGAGAGATTTCAAGATCATGGCGTCAATTTCAATAGCCGAAACTCATTTTCCATCGGTTCACAAAGAATTTTAGAGAAGAAGCGGCTACTATTAAGAAGTTCCTGTATTTTTGATTTCGGGTATCAAATGCCTTGTAGATCTTGTACAGAATAACATGATGTTGTCCTTCGATGTAATATATATTGAAGGAAGACGTTTGTTAGAACAGGAATCTATATCGCTCGATCCAGATTGAGACTGTGGCATGTTATAATATTTGCCGCAAACTGTATAATGAAAGCACCAGTAACATTGGCTGAAATATTCGCAGATGTTACTGAAGATTCGACTGTTCAGTGATATGAGTATGAGTAGGGACATATCTATAATAAAAATGATAAATTTACACAACCGGAGTACACACAAACAATAATGGAGCTATGTGGTCGAGGCTCAAAGGGTTTTCGTGACCTTATCATGGTTCCAGAGACCAACTAATATGGGGCCATATGGATGAGTTCCTCTACCTTTATCCAATACGATTTTGGAACCTTTGAGCCTTTTTCTAATCTTGACAAGTTTTTGGACCATATAAAAGAAGTGTATCCACTTTAATTATTTGGTTTTGTATAGTATATTTTTACTCTATAGTGACTGTTTACTGATTGGCTAACATTCCTCAAGGTCATATTAGATTCGTTCAAAGGTCGTCCATAAATTATGGTCTCGCTTTGAAAACCATGAAAGATTGGGTTGATGTTTCATCATCGTATTAGAACTCTTCTACAGTTCACTTTCACAATCCTGTACATGGGACTCCACTAGTGAATTCAACTGTGAAAGTACTACTATTAAGAATGTAGATAAATTTATGAGACTATACAAAGCTATTACATATATACTCACTTGCTTACGCCTGTTACCCCCAACGGAGTACAATTCGCCGACCAGCATTCTCCAACATACTCTGTCCTGGGGATTCCTTTCTAGTTCTATTCGATTTTTATTCATTATATATATATATAACTTATCAGAAAGAATAAACTACAACAATACCACGAACATACAAGTAAAGAACTAGATATATTTGATTACGTAATGGACAAAGGTTAATTCACAAGCATTATAAGCAAAAATGGACAGTGACTAGCAGTGGAATCCAGTTTGACGCGCGTCACTTCTTCCTATTTGTAACTCATCAGCTGGATGTACCTGCTATGTCGAGGCGATACACACAGTATGCACATATGCCAATAAGAGACTGATCAATTTCAGTCCTAAAAATCAATGGGAAGATTCAAACAAACAATACTAAGTTAATTCAAACTTCACCCCATTGCACAAGCAAGTGGCTATCAGGACTCAGTAGCTGAGTGGATAACGCGATGACGTTTGAAGCGAAAGGTACTAGGTTCGACTCCCAGAATGAACATCAACTCTGAGTTGCAGGTATATCCAGCTGAGGAGTCCCAAATAAGACGAGATGTGCGAGCTGGATTCCACTACTAGCCACTATCCATCTTTGCCTATAAATAAACAAAATGTTATGAACGTTTGCACTACGAAAACAGGGAATGATCAATAACTAACACCTTTAGAACATATAAGTCAAAACAGCTGATCAAATTAGGTTCATTTGAAGTTCTACTAAACATAAATGATGAAATTAGGAAACATTAATCAAAACTGTTGAGTTTGATAGAAATCATAAACCGATATCAATGTTAGATCATTATTTAAAATCTGAAAACACTTCATAATTGTTTAATCTTTATATAAGACTGCTCAGCAGTGCACATCTATGATCCCGTAAGCAAGACTCGATTTCCAAACCCTTCGTTCTAGCATATAGACGCTTTACATCCAGATATACTGAGTCAGTATCCAACTATGTTGTTGCCTAACTTTAACCAATACATGATATTGCGTAGTCATCCTTTTTTAATAGTTGAGTTGATGAGTCAATTGAAGCTAGACCACCATGGAAAATCTGTAAGCACTAAACGGCCGTTTCATCTTAGTATGAGACTCCTCAGTGACGCGAATCCACGATCTCATATAGCGAGATTCGAACCCAGGACATATCAGTTTCGCACGTGAGCGCTTAACTTTTAGACCATTGAGCCGGAATCCAACAGTATTAATGTCTAACTTCAACCAATCCACAAAGTTGTATCACCGTCCATCGTACTACTGAACGGCCATTTCGTCCCATTGTGGGACTCCTCAACTTAGTTCGTTTACTAAAATTTTCAAATTTTCATATATTTTCTTTAACATTCATTTTCATTGTATATCCGTTTCTTCTTTTTTCCCTTTTTTCTTCATTACACTATCTCATTAATATAAATAAAACATTGATCATCATCTTCTTTCAATTCTATACAATCAAGATTGCATGGGTAAGTTATCCTTGATTACTTTTTTCTTAAATACTTCTCTTCAGTGTGTGTGAGGGGAGGGGGTAGCTTTTCTTTTTTCGTCAATACTTCTCCTTAGTGTGTGTGTGTGTGGGGGGGGTGAGAGGGGTACTTTTATTTTTTTGTAAATACTTCTCATTAGTGTGTATGTGGGGGGATGGGGGCATAAATATGGACAGAGTTTAGTCAATCTAATCTTTACATGTATCTAATTCAATTGATATTTCCTGGTTCATTTACATTTTTATTAAATTTATTATCACCATCGTCGTTCCCCCCCTTTTTTTCTCTTTTTTTTTCCTTTTCTGTATCCGTGTAATAAACATGCTTCTTTCTCCCATGGAGATGTTCAAATAAGCCTGTTACGTAATCACATCTTATATTTGTATAAGTAATAGTATCAAGGTATTTGTTTGTTTGTTTGTTCTTCGAACAATAATCATAACACTTTTTCGATAGGATATAGATAGATGACTATTTTAGATCATCAACACAAATGTATGTATATATCTATTCCTTATTATAGAGTAGTGAAGATTGTTGAGATGTAATTGAGATCATGAATGGATCAATGGTAGACTATCATTGATAACTTGCAGATATTGGATAACTGTTTTGTTCTAGTATAGGACTCTTCAGCCGTGGGCATCTACAATTGTGCATACGGGATTCAGGTTAAGGAACTTCAGTTTTTTGATGAGAACGTTTAAATTATGAACCAGTGAGATGGTATCTAACAGTTCATAATCTCAATTAAAACTCAACAATTTTCACAACTTTATACTGATAAATATCATGTGCTTGTTAAGGACTTAATTCAAGAGGGGATTTTTGGAGTCCTCGTTAAAAGCCGTGGCTAGTGGATTTCAACCATGTCAACTGTGAATCATTCGCCCCCTCCAACTTCGAAGACAGTGAAAGATTGTCGGCCAATATTGTGGATTGGTTGAATTTTGACAAATATATTCACTGAATAAATAATTATCTAAATATCATTAAACTAATATTCTACTTTGATTGTTTTCATGTCTACTGAATACGTCTCAAACTTCTTTGTTCTTGGTCTCTTTCTTTGAGCTTCTTAACCTTCTTCTAGCAGGCATTTTACTTTCGATTTATGATATATACTACTAATATCTGTCGACATCATTAGCACACACCATGATACAAACTTAACACTGTGTCAAACCAATACCATTTTCAGTTGTATGAGCAGCCTGGCGTCCTTATTGGTTTTTTTGTTCTCCTAGCCCGTCCAGTTGAGTCAATATCTACTTCCACTGTACCAATTCTTTATTTCAAACACACATGGTTTATATATAAGCCAAACAGACCACATTGCACCACCAAATAGCAAATAACAATTATACAGGATCGAACCAAAACGTGGCTATGATTATGGGAGACTAATAAATAAAACGGGTATTAATTGAGAATAGTAAATCGTATAGCAGTAGTTACTTACTTACTTATTCACTCCTATTACTGCCAATGGAGTATAGGCCGCCGACCAGTATTCTCCAACCCATTCTGTCCTAAGCTTTCCTTTCTAGTTCTATCCAACTTTTGCTTATTCTTCTCATGTCTGTCTCCATTTCTCGGCTTACTGTGTTCTTTGGTCTTCCTCTTTTCCTTTGACCTTCAGGATTCCATGTGAGAGCTTGTCTTGTAACGCAGTTGAGTGCTTTCTTCAATGTGTGTCCTATCCCCTTCCAGCGCTTCTTCCTGATTTCTTCCTTCACTGAATGGAATCTGGTCTGTTCTCTCTCATAGTAGGTTGTTGCTAATAATGTCTGGACAACGAATCCGAAGTATTTTGCGTAGACAAACTGTTAATAAACACCTGTAACTCCTGGATGATGGCCTTTGAAATTCTCCAAGTTTCTACCTTATACAGTAGAACTCTCTTGACATTTGTATTAAAAATTATGATTTTGTTGTTGGTTGAAAATTGTTTTTAGATCCAGATGTTCTTCAATTGTAAATATGCTGCTCTTGCTTTGCTGATCCGCCAGATATATATGCGCCACACAAATCTCATTTGATTTGTGTGAAAGCTGTGATACTGCTCAGGTGCCCAAACTGAAGCAGGTGATTTTCTTAGTGGGCCACACTCCGAGCCTATGACCTAAAGATCTGATATACAAGACAGTGGAGGGTCATGAGGAAATGTAGTCCCATGTAAGCCGGTGACCAACAATTGATTCATACTCCATTTTTTTTCCTTCAAGATACTGGAGCCCATGTGCATCATTAGTTTGAAATCAGTGTTTTCTAGCTCTCCTAGGTGAACTTGTCATGTCCCACCAATCCGGTTAAAGTGCCTGACATTCACTTTTCGTCCTCACAATTTTGTTAAAACAACACCTCCACCACGAGAAGGCATTGAGTAGAATTTCCCTGTCAAGCGGCTCTCTTAACGCATAATCATGTAAGAACATTTCGAGAGGGGAGGGTGACCCCTATTCCCCATTTCTCAACCTTACCATATCATTTAAGGGCACTATTATTATTATTATTATTATTCCTATCATCATTATTATATATCTAAGGTTAAATCAAATGAACTAATCATCTTCACTCCCCTCTTTTTTTTTTTTTTTCTTCTTTCTTTACATGTTATAGGCTGTATTATCTGGTATTAGTTTTCGTACTTATATCTCTGATGGATGGAATAAATTAGATTGTGCTGGTTTAGCTTTATATATAATTGGTTTTATATTACGTTTAATTGTATTATTACGTATAGGAAAAGAGAATAATTTTAATATAAAATATGAACGTTATTATATTGTTACAGATCCAATACTTGATCCATCACGTATATGTCTTGCTATTAGTTTATTTACATTTTATATAAGATTAATGTATACATTTAGTTTTCATATTGCATTAGGACCAAAATTAATTATGATTGGGAAAATGGTAAGTTTTTTTTGTGATTTGTTTCTATGTTTGGTTACTATGTTTGTTCGTTTTTACATTTATTAAATGGGGTGGGGGTGGGGGTGGGGATGGGGATGGGGATGGGGATGGGGTGAAGTGTTAGGAACTATTGAAATCTGAATGAGTATATAACGATTTCATCCCATCTCATCTCACCCCCCATTCAATCCTATTCCAACTATAGGAACATAGTGAAGAGTAGTCAAGACCGTTCTAAGGAGAAGAATGCTATATTGAAGCATGGCATAACTATTGGGGCACAATAGCTGATTTTGTATTGCTTAAGTAGAACCATTACAATATTGTTTATTTTCTGTATGAACCAACAGTAATTATGCAATGATTGTTTGTAGCAATCATAATCATTTGTGGGTATAGGTAGAGTGGTTGATTAGGTTGATCTTTACCATCCGTGTTACTGCTAACGTTAGTCTGTTTTTACATTCATTGAATTGGTGGAGTATTAGGAACTATTGAAATCTGAATGAGTATATAACGATCTCACCTCATCCCCTTCCAGCTATAGAAACATATTGAAAAGTAGTTGAGGCCGTTCTAAGGAGAAGAATGCTACATTGAAGCATAACATAACTATCGGGGCTCAATAGCTGTTGTTGTATTGCTTACGCAGAACTATTACAACATTCTTTCTTCCCCTTTTTTGGGGGGGGGGAGGGACAGACTCATTATTTCTTCCTTTATGAACCAACAATAATTATGTAAGGGGGTTTTGTGGAGATTTGAGTAATTTTATATAGTTAATATCATAAGTCAATTGAAGCTAGACCACCGTGGAAAACCTGGAAGCACTGGAAAGCTATTTCATCCTATTGTGGGACTCCTCCTGGAGTTCTAGTCAGAAGTAGTGACCAGTGGAGTTCAGCTGGGTCTGATGTGAGATAGTAACTCACTGAAGACAATGATTAACGGTTGCTCAATTTCGTGGATCGGTTGAAGTTAGACGTTAACACCGATGGATGCCGGCCAGATCAGTGGTCTAGTGATTAAGCGCTCGCGCTCGAAACTGATAGGTCCTGGGTTGGAATCTCGTGAGTCGGGATCGTGGATGTGCACTGCTGAGGAGTCTCACAATAGGACGTAACGGCCGTCCAATACTTCTAAGTTTTCCGTGGTGGTCTAGATTTAATTGACTCCTAATTTCGACTATCAAAAAAAAACCCATATTTCCATAGGTCTAAGAATTTTACAAATAAATATCGATCATGGTGAAAACTAACTTTATATGAGACAAATTTTCACAAACATCTCAGTCAAGTTTTAACTGATCCTCAAACTTACTTAGAGATATATTCACTTGATATTGTTTACTTGTACCTTCCCATTGATGTTTGGAACTATAATTGATTAGTCTCTCATGGGTCAATATGCATCCTGTATGGATTGCCTCGATATTAGTTTAAGTTACAACCATTCTAAGCAAAGATGAGTGGTGACTAGTAATGGAATTCAGTTTGACTCATGTTTCATCCTACTTTAGATGAATGTATAATTTCATAAGTTCTAATATAATAATAAACTTCAACTTAATGAAATTTCTAATAAACAATTGGTAACCAATATCCGTTGTAATTCTTAGATCATACCTTGACAGTAAGATAAAACCTCAGTATCAATCTAAGAAACAAGACATGAATATTTATTCAATCTGGACTGTTTTCCAAACAACCACATTCGACCTGATTTATTGCCCATACAATCTACGCGTACACATATATACGCACCCAATTCCAACTCAACGACTTCATATTCCAAATGTATACATTGTTCATACACACAGTTTGACTCTCAAATTGATTCAGTGACAGGTCATACAAATTCAACTTGATCAAGAATATTATATAGTTGAGATCGTGAGTCAGTTGAAGCTAGGCAACCATGGAAAACCTGGAAGCACTGGGTGACCGTTTCGTCCTATTGTGGGACTCTTCAGGTTTCCATGGTGGTCTAGCTTCAACTGATTCATGATCTTAACTATATAAAATTACTAAATCTCCACGAAACCCCCTTCTGATATTGACCAAGAATAATTTGACATTGTTTGATTCAAACCCATTATGATGGGAGATGGTTGCATAAAATTGTGAATTGCTTGAAGTTATACATTAGAATACCATTGGATCGCGGTTTAATGAACTAGAGGTTAATCATTCGAGTGAGCGAGGTCGAATATATTTGGTTCGATTCCCTTTGATGGAAAATCGTATTTGCGCTCTGATGAGGAGTTCTATACTAAAATGAAACTATAATCCATTACCTTTAGGTTTCCAATGGTTGTCCAACATTGATCGCTTGGTTATTTCAATGAAACTCAATAATCTCTATAACCTCATATTGATCATTATGATTTTGATTGTACTAAAAATATTTTATAACGTTTCTTCTATACTACTTAAACTTGTGTTAACTTGATTTGATGGCTTATTTACTCTGAAGAAGTAGCTTACATGAAGTGACGAAACGCCAGAAATACAACTTTTTTCTATTCATTAGGATATAGCTTATGTACATATAGTTCACTGCTCAGTTTATTCAACACTTCCAAGTTCAACCTTGGCATTATTACTTACAAGTAGTTTATTGTTTGTTTGTTTTTATCCTATAAGGTGACCAATGATTTAATCCCATTTATGATTATTTTAACTGTGATTATGGTTGGTTATGCAGTGGCTGCACAATCAATCGCTTATCCAAATGGTTTATTTACCAAGGAGAATATGACATTGAGTAGGTTTTCCTTCTTTTTTTCTTTTGTTCATCTATACTCATTGTTAAAGTAATATGATTATAAGCAATGATGGACAGTGGCTATCAGTGGAATCCAGGACGCGCATCACTTTGTCCTATTTGGAATTCGTCAGCTGGATGTACCTTCATCTCAGAGTTGATGTTCACTCTGGAACTCAAACCCAGTACCATTACCTCCAAACTTCATTACGTTTTCCACTGAGCTACTTAGTCCTGATAGCCACTTGTTTGCGCGATGGGTTAAAGTTTAAATTCATTTGGTATTGTTTGTTTGAATCTTCCCATCGATGTGTTACGACTTCAACTGGTCAGTCTCTAATTGGCATATGTGCATACTGTGCGTATTACACAAGCAAGCGGCTATCAGGACTCAGTGCCCAAGTGGATAACGCGATGGGTTCTAGTCCCAGAGTGAACATTAACTCTGAGATGAAGGTACATCCAGCTGACGAGTCCAAAATAGGACGAAGTGTCGCGCATCCTGGAATCCACTACTAGCCACTATCCATCTTTACTTACGATGCTTGTGAATTAAGGTTATGTCAAGGCAATACTCACAGTATGCACATATGTCAATAGGAGACTGACCAGTTGCAGTCCTATGATATCGATGGGAAGATTCAAACAGACAATGCTAAATGAATTTAATATGATTATAAGTAAAGATGGATAGTGGCTATCAGTGAATTTCAGTTTGACGTGCATTTCGCGCTAACTCCCCAATCGACTACTTGAGCGATAACAGAGGAGAGGGAGAGAAAGTATATTGAGTTACGGAATAAAGTGAACAAATACTTGTCTAGACATATAGCATTCTAACCCCCAGGAAATTCATACATTTCTTAGCCAATGAAATGCACTTATCCTTAAGGTCACTTCTGATTGCCATCTAGTGACCTTTTTGTTAGTTTACTTCTGATTGGCTTACCATATCATATTCTGATTAATAGAAGAAAGACTAAGATGGTGGTTGAAGGTAGTCAACAAGAAACTTTGGACCCAGGCTTCATGCTATTTAGTACTTGTCAGCAAGGTTTACCTGTAATCTTGAGGGAACTGATGTTACGTGACAGACTCGATCACGTATCACCCAACTTTACAGTCAAGGATCTTGCCACTGGGTTATCCGGGCCGCGACTGACCTCTTATAGGAATGAGATATAATTAAACTTGATTGATCACTGGGTGGTGATCAATCCAACCTGCTGACGAGTGCCAAATAGCACGAGGTTGTAAGGATTGTTTAGTTTTAATTGAGATCATGAACCGATCAATGTTAGACAAGCAGTTGAAGTTCTGGGTTCGAATCCCGCTTGATGGATCGTAGGCGCACACTGTTGACGAGTCCTATACTAGGACGAAACGGCTGTTCAGTACTTCCAGGTGGCCTGACACTCACCGATTCATGATCTCAATTAAAATTATTAAGGAGTTGAACATGTTTAAAAAAACTGATATAGAATAGAGATATGAAAGGTAACCGTTCACTTGAAGAATATGTAAGAAGGTGAAGAAGAGGATGCAAATATATGTCAAGAAATAGCTAATAAGAATATGAAAGGGTGTTAAGAACATGGTGAACTAAGGGATTCAATATACTGCTTCTGCACATGAATATCACGTTTGAACTGATGACTTGTTGAAGTCTTTGATATGTAGAAGGTACGTTTTCGATATCCTTTGGAAACGAATCGCCTTAGTTCGATAAGTGTACTGATTGTTGATTCGATATATGTTATTAGAAGACTATTGTTTACTTAGTTACCATAGCTAATATGTAACTTTAGATGGTAAATAACTTTTAATACCTCAGTCAGTCACAACGTAGAACTTTGTACGTACGTACATCAGTTCGAGTTTCTATACCAGTACCTCAATTAGTGATGTAATCACCTTGTATCTATAGTATAGAGTTTTGTAGGTATAAGATAACCAATAGTTAAAGAAAATGGCAACATCGAAAAGAAAACACACTTCACTGAAACGTTTTCATACAGCTACATTCTCGAAAATAACTAAGAGCAACACAATTCATTATAATATACATAATTCCTTACCTAGGATCTAAAAATTCACACTTCCAACCTGTTTCTAAGTTCAAAACTCTGACTATGGTCGCATTACATCTTGAATTCATTAACCTAAGACTTGTACACCTTAGGATACCTACACAATGATCTAGAAGTTAAGTATTCATACACCAGATCATAAGTCCTTAGTTCGAAGGGTCATGAATACAACCCTATTGATGAAACTCATGCATTTAGGCTATCCATGGTAATCTAATTTAGATCAGTCTGTAATCTCATAGTTCATATTGATAGTTCTTCTTGTTTTCATCATTTAGAGTTTAACAAAACAATAAGAGTACACCCTAATTCATTCTTTTTTAAGTTTGTTTCTTTCAAACTGACATTATAATCCTTGTTATCACTACTGTCAATACTCTTGAATAGGTCATTGTTAACTCTATGTTAGGATTATTGCAAAGCTTGAATAGTTCTCTTTTTCCCTTTTTGTTGTTGTTGTGGTTTTTGGCCAAAGATTATGGTTACACTCATAACAACAACCAAAAAACTCTTCAAATTGAGGTCATTCCTTATAAATATGACAATGATAATCTCAACTTGATGTTAAAAAGTTTCTTTCTTTTGTTGTTTCTATTGTTAGATAACTAGATAGAAGGACAAACCTTGATGGATTCTTAATTATTCTTTATACTATGAATGAGTAAAGATGGATAATGGCTAACATTGGAATCCAGTTTGATGTGCGTTTCGTCCTATTTTGGACTCATCAGATGGGTGTACTTACATCACAGAGTTCATATTCACTCTGGCATGTTGATACATCCAGCTGACAAGTACAGAATAGGATTAAACGAGCAACAAACTGTATTCCACTGCTAGTCATTATCCATCTATGCTTATAATGCTTGTAAATTAAGGCGATATCGAGTCAATCTGTTATGTTCTTATGCCTGATTAATGATATCGTGTGATATGACGGCTAATTGGAGAAATTCATTTATATGGTCAGATTGATGGCGTATAAACTAGTACCAGAAGCCGGGAATCAACTCCGAGTTCTTATTTAACCTTTGAAATACTAACTTCTCTCCTAATTCAACCAGTTTAGTCTAGAACACCAATATTATCCTTCGCGATATGAATCATATAGTTCAGATATACTTGGTTTATATACAAGCAAATCAGACCACATCATACCATGAAACAGTGAATAAACGTTGTACAGGATCATGCCAAAAGTGGCGGTGAGTGTGAGAGATTGACTCAATGTTGACCATCCATTCTGTAAATATCAGTTCGTCGTCTTTGATTATTGTTGTCCATGCATTTTCACACCAATTGCGCTTAGTTCCCGTTCTTTCCTTATCGATCTTCTTCTGAAATACATTCCATTGGATCTTTAATAGAGATGTCGGTGAAAAATAATGAAATATATTTCATTATTTATTAGATAGATATCAGTTTGTGAAATGAATTCTTTTCGGATTAGTTGAAGTTAGACCACCATGGAAAACCTGAGAGCACTGGACGGCCGTTTCGTACTATTATGGGACTCCTCAAGTTTTCCATAATGGTCTAGCTTCAATTGACTCATGATTTCAACTATAGAAAATTATTAAAATCTCCGTGAAACCCTCGTTCTAATCGTTTCAGATTTACCAACCAACTCATCAGGAAATTACCTGCCAGTAGAAATATTCTTGACTTCATGAGCCAATCTAAGCTTCATAATGAATCTCCTGAAGTTCTAGTAAGAAGTCATAACCAATAGATTCTAATTCATATTAGGTATGATACATTTATCCACCTTAGACAATAGATAAAGGGTTTCACAAGATCATAGATCAATTGAAGTTAAACATGAACATCGTTAGAGGTCGTCAAGTTGAGTGTTTCAGAGGTTAAGTGTTCGTGCATGGACCGAGGGTCCTGGGTTCGAACAAGGCAAATGCTTACTTCTAAGCAGTTTCATCTTAGGACAAGACGGTTATCTAATACTTCTAAGTTTCTCAATCGTACCAATCTAGCTTAGATCAATTATATAAAATTACTACAATCTCCACAAATCCCTACTCTGATAGTAATAATAATAGTGTTATTCAGTTAGATCCCTTTCTAGTTTATACTAATCTTTAGTATTGAATTATTCACGGTAATCCATTTTATAATTAATGATCATGCCATTCTTAGAATTAGTTAATTATTCATTTACATACCTAGTTGTCAAGCATGATTGTAATAGTACTACTACTATTACTACTACTACTACTACTACTATTACTACTACTACTACTACTACTACTATTACTACTACTACTACTACTACTATTACTACTACTACTACTACTACTATTACTACTACTACTACTACCAATGCTACTACCAATACTACTAATACTACTATTAGTAATGGTAATAGTAATAATAATACTGTTTCATGTTCTCTTTGTCGTTTCACATTCATAATATAATGATGTTTGTTTCCCCATCCCCACCCCCCAATTCACTTTTATAATTGTTGTTGTTGTTGTTTTGTTACTTTTCTATCCCCTTACCTATTCAAACGATCTATTCGATTTACAAATGGAAGATTCTGAAATTAAACATATGACATTTGCTGATATTATATTTTCAATGTATACAACTGCTTATTTTCAAATGTTTGGTGATTTTAGTTTAGATGCATTACAAGGTGAAGGTAAGTTAATATATTGGGTTATGAATAATTTAGTTTATTAAAAGAAAAAACAAACAACGACACTGACATTCATTGAATTGATATAGTAAACAAACAAACAAACAAAACTGTCATCTATGTGGGATTATAGAGATTGTTCCATCTTTGATTAAGATCATGAATTGATCAATGTTAGAACACTATTGAAAGCCTGAAAGCACTCAATAGATGTTTCGTCCTAGTATGAGAGTCCTCATCATCGGTTTTTTTTTCCAACTTAGTTCGTGTACATTGATTTAGTTTAACATGTATTGAGTAAATTTATATTGTAATGAGAAGATTTTAGTTGGACGGTCCTTGACAGGAGTCAGGAAACAATAAAAACAAAATTAGTTATTATTCAAAATTTATGGTTTAATCTGTTGAGCAAATTTTTCCAATCAATACGGTCAAAACTTCGGTAGTTTAATTTGAACTACTTGTGAGTAGTTAAGAGTTTTATGCAACATTAAATAACGAAATCGATCCATTGTGTCATAGAACAGGATAGAAGGCAATTCAATGAAGAAAAATTATCTTGTGGATGACTTCGTTTATGGAAGTTATACAGTTTTATTTATGGTCAATTTATTCATCACAAATAATTGTCGATAGTGAAGTAGAATGGTGTTGAATGGATAAAACAAGGTGAAGTGGGGATGTGTGATAAGCTGTTTATGGAGATCAGATATTTGGCTAGTGAATAGTGATAACGAGAAGAGAAATGTCATGGCAATTCCATACAGACACTTTAGAAGTAAAAAGTTAGATGGGAGATCAACCTTATTGAGACTTCATGATTTAATGTGTACACTTGTGGAAATCATGTTTATAAATAGATAAACACTAATTCTTTGATTATAGAAGAGGTTTTGTGGAGATTTTATATTTATCATAGTTGAAAGCGTGAGTCAATTTAGCTAGACCACTATGAAAAACCTGGAAACACTGAACGGCCGTTTCGTCCTATTATGGGGCTCCTCAGAAGTGCGCATCCACGAACACCGTTGGATGCCAGCTCAGTGGTCTATCGGTTAAGGGCTTCGGCTCGAGACTGATAAGTCCTGGGTTCGAATGTCGCTCGCTAGAGCTGGTTCGTGGATGCGCACTGCTGAGCAGTCCCATAATAGGACGAAACGGCCGTCCAGTGCTTCCAAGTTTTTCATAGTGGTCTAGCTTCAATTGACTCACGCTTTCAACTAATTCTTTGGTTTACAATCAATCTCAGTATACAGTACTGTTATATTGACTACTACTCCAAATACAGGTTAGTATATTCATACTTGAGAAGTGACAGATGAGTCTTGACGTGCGACGAATTTCTTCAAATGTTTTTTCATATATATGTCTTATATGCCATGTGTAATTATCAAAGAGAATTATTTTGACTGTAGTCAACTGAAATAACTTACCAGCTATCACTTGAACTATAAGTGTACATTGTTGCTTGATGGCCAACAGAATTTGTAGTTATCTAATCTATTCGGAAAGTAATTAGAACTATATACATTCCAGAAGTGTAATAGTTTCTAGTTGCTAACCAACCTCCTCATTCTTTTGTCATGATCATTATTAGTAGCAATACAGTGTATTAATTTCTACTTTTTTTTCATCGAACAGATCGAACATGTCAAAATCATATGTGCCCTACGAAAACATCACGCTGGCTTGTACCTATTATGCTTGGATTCTATGTGTTACTAACTAATATACTAATGTTCAACTTACTTATTGCCATGTTTTCGTAAGTGTTATCATTACAATTTGCTACTTACTTACTTATTTAATTGCTTACTTGCTGACTTAAATCTGTTACCCCTCGTAAAGAAGCATAGACTGCCCATCAGCATCCTCCATTGAACCCTGTCCCGGACAATCCTTTCCAGTAGTTTACAGTCACTATTCATCCTTTTCATGTCTGTTTCCAATTCTCGACACAGTAAGTTCGTTGGTCTTCCTATTTTCCTTGCTTTCTTGCCTCAAGGTTTCCAAGTTGGAGCTGGCCTTATGATACAGTTTGGTGATTTCCGTAACGTATGTCCTACCCACCTGTGACATCTTCATTTGGAATATGGATTGTTCTTTCCCATAGTAGGATGTTGCTGATAGTATCCGACAAATGGACATGGAGTATATGGCATAGACAACTGCTTATACACACTTGTTCGTTTGTGGTGATAGTCGCAGTTGTTCTCCAACTTTTAGTTCGTATAGTAGAACTATGTTTATGTTCGCACTACATATCCAAATCTTGATGTTGGCTGACAGTTGTTTTAAGTTTCATTACAATTTGATTAGGTTATTATATTACAAGAGTTTATTTTACCAGCACTAATTAAGAGGCGTATAACGACTGAGACTAGAAAATTTTGAATAAGTATTATTTTTAAAAATTCCAGTCGCTTGAATAGTATATACAAGTCTTCATCCTTTAATGTACGTTGCCCCACTGCCCTATGGATTAAACCTCCATGTCAAAAGCTTGAGGAGGGACCTCCTAAGGAAACAATCTACTTCGGTTTGGGCGCTCGGTCAGTATTCCAGCTCTCACACAGATCGCAAATAAGACACTGATTTTCATCATTTTCAGTTTATAAGATTAACTACTGTTTTCAATATAAGTAGACTAAATTTTAACTAATACTTTTTTATACATTTAATTAGTAAAACCTATGAAGAAATCGAGAGTGCATCAACATATTATTGGAATTATCAAAGATATCAAATGATCAATGATTATGTTCATAGATCACCACTTGCTCCACCAATCATCATTGTTTGGCATTTCTATGAAGCATATAAAGCTATTGGAAATCAATGTGCAAGTTTAAGAAATGCTGAAACAGCAAAATATAATCCATTTTGTAAATCAGTTATTTTTTAATTATAATTATGATTATCAGTGTATCAACCTAATTAGCCACGATACTTGTCTATGTTTAGCTTTGAATTGTTGTATGAATTCGGTGTTCATGATCTATTTATTCATTAAATCAGTTGAAATCATTAGTCGATTGAAGCTAGACTATCATGGGAAACCTGGAAGCACTGGATGGTCGTTTCGTCCTATTATGGAACTTCTCAGTGGAAGTGAGCATCCATGATCCCGCTTCACGACATTCGAACCCAGGACCTGTCAGTCTTGCGCGTGGGCACTTAACTTCTAGAACCAATGAGCCGACCTGCATCCAACGGTGTTAATGTCTAACTTCAACCAATCCACGAAATTGAGTAGCCGTCCACCATTTTCTTCACTGAGTTTATATCTCACAAGAGACCTGGTTGAACTCCACTAATGATAGTTCCTGGGTTCAAATCGTGTGAGCCGGGATCGTGGATGCGCACTGCTGAGGAGTCTCACAATAGGACGAAACGACCGTCCGGTACTTCCAGGTTTTCCGTGGTGGTCTAGCTTAAATCGACTCATGATTTCAACTATGAGATTACTAAAATCTCTACAAAAACTCCTTCTGACATTGAATCAGTAATCATTTTAACCAGTTCTTAAAAGTTAGGGGATGACGGCTCGTTTAATTAGAAGTCTACATAGAATGAGATCATTTGTTTGTTAACATACGCACACACACACGCACATTTTATGATTTTACACACATCTACTGCGAAAGAAATCTGGCCATATATCTTGTGTGTAGAGCAAAAATGATTTGCTCAAAGTGTGATTCGTGTTACTGATGTCAATAGTTATGAGTAGTATGTATCATCAATGAAAAGTGAAATGCCTGGCAATAGAAGGTTGCGAAAATCGAAAAGAGGAGAACGAAAACTGTGAGTTACTGGTGTGGAAAAGAAGGAACAATCAAATATGAGAAAATTGATAGATATTTTGCAAATGAAGTATTTACTGAATGATTCTCGGATTTTACCAAGATATTCTGTCATGTTTTTTTTAATACATTTAGTTGTCCCTACTTATGTTCTTCACTCCAAGAGGATGCTATAAAAGAGTTGTAGTTTATCAGTAGCATACTGACGGAGGTGGGCTGCCTGAAACGTTTTCTAAAGAAGTATACCTAGACACGAAAAGTACGTTTCAGATATCGACCTCTAGTAACCAACTCCCATTCCTAAAAACTACAATCGAATGAGGATGTGGCTAGCGATGTTTACCATGATTATTTCGAGTGATTTATCATATCCCTTCATCACTGTGTATCTCCTACATATAGCGGAAGTGGTGAGGAACCGAACCAAGAATCCTAATTTTTTGAATTCAGAAGAAATTCGTGAGAGTTCTGTCCCCTCTTTGTTGTCTTCCATCCCATTTCGGGGAATTAGTACTTATAACTTGACGATTCTATACACATGGACTATTGTTATATATATATATATATATATATATATATATATATATATATATATAATCTGTATTCATGGCTATGCTTATTTCACATTTGTTTTACTTCTCAAGGTGTACGATTTACTGATGTGAAGAAGGAAAGGGAAATGGTAAAATGGGAACATATGAAAGCTATGGATTATTTAAGAGAACCATCAACTAAAGCAACTGGTAAAAGAGGTGTAGCTGAATCACGTGCTGTGGTATTTCGTGGTGGTGGAGGTGTTGGTCCTGGTCAAGGACCAGTAATGGATTTAAAAAGTGAAATGTCCAGTGTCACAGAGGTAATATTAATACTATTCAAGGATAATCTAATGTTGTTTAGAATATCAATGAACATATGTCGAACATCTGGAATGATATGATATACTTCATTACATATGACCAATATACTTGACAATAATACTAGAGTGTCTCAGTATATGATATTCTGTTTTGATAGATGAATAGGAGCTAACAGATTTATTCATCTTAAATCAATTACACGTTTAACTTTGTCACTAATGTGTAGGCGTAGATGATAATGATTGGTTGTTTTGCTGAGTTGAACATGTAGATAGTCTGACATGTGTTATATGTATTATAGATTCCCCTATCCTAATTATTATTGATTAACTGTTCCTTGTTATTGGATTGTGTCGGATTTTGGGTGTAGAAATATATTTGACGTTCTAGTCAGGCTAATCTCATGTTCTTGATCTGAGTTGTGTGTTGAAGTCCTGTAGAATAGACGACACTGGGTGGGAAATCTAGTGTAGACGTTCATCTAAGGTAAATTAACGTTCCACATATGTGTAAAAAGTGAAAGGACTGTTATAACAAGAAATCCTAGAATTATAACAAGTATTCTTTGCGTTTATGATAGTCACCTACTACATTAGTCTAGTATGGTGACTTGTATTAAACACTCAATATATATTGAAGTAATTCACTCCACAATTGAAGAACATATGGAACTCAAAACAACACTCAACTAATTTCAAAGTGAGAATCTTCAATACAAATGTCAAGACAGTCAGTTCTACTGTACGGAGCTGAAACATGGAGAACTACTACGACCATCATCAGGAAGGTGTGAGTATTTATAAACAGATGTCTACGCAAAATACTCAACATCCATTGGCCGGATACTATCAGCAACAGCGTTTTATGGAAGAGGACAAACCAACTTCCAGCTGAAGAGGAAATTAGGAAAAGACGTTGTAAGTGGATAGGACATACATTAAGGAAATCACTAATGTGCATCACGACTCAATCCCTAACTTGGAATCCGGAAGGGAAGCGGAAAAGAGGAAGGCCAAAGAACACACTACGTCGAGAAATAGAAGCAGATATGAAAAGAATGAATAGCATCTGGAAAGAACTGGAAAGGAAAGCTCAGGACAGAGTTGGATGGAGAATGCTGGTTAGCGGCCTATGCTACTCGACGAGGGGTAACAGGCGTAAGTAAGTAAGTAAGTAAGTAATTCACCCCATCTGTAATCTTTATTAAATTGGCATGGTTCTTTAAATGATGAATCGTCTGATATAGAGGATACAACTATAAAGCTCTCGTTACTTTCCTACATAATATTGATCATCAAAAATTCTAGGAAGTCAAGAGTCCTCTTCTTTGTAGCCCTAGTTTTGATCATTATTATCATGGTGTTTTTACACCAGTTTAGAGAATACTAAAAGGCTCATAACATTAGTTATCTATTTTGTCATAGTTATAGACTATTCATCAGTGTTGACATAACTATACACCAAATCAGACTATAGAATTGTCAGTATCATGGCTGATTAGATGCGTTTTAACCGCTAATTTAAAATCCGGTGGTTTACACATTTGAATCCCTGTTAATTCACGACTGAAGGCCGAAAACCACTCTATGTTATTAGTAGATAAATAGCTCATTCCCAATACTATTTTATTACATCAAGAATGATATTACAATAGAGTTTCAACAAATCTATTTCAAATATAGTTGAAATCATGAGTCACTTGAAGCTAGACCACCATGGCAAACCTGGAAGTACTGGACGGCCGTTTCGTCCTATTATGGCACTCCTCAGCTATGCCGGCTCAATGATCTATCGGTTCTGGCATGCAAGACTAATAGGTCCTGGATTCGAATCTCACGAGGCGGGATAGTGGATGTGCACTGTTGAGGAGCCCCACAATAGGATGAAACGGCCGTCCAAAGCTTCTATTTCAAACTAATGATTAGTAAGCTCATAATTGTCGACAAGGTGTCAGAGAGGTAGTTGACCTTTGTTTTTACTCTCTCATAATAACATGATCACCTTTTTTGATTTCGTTTTTTTCTATTTTTCCCATATCTTACTCAGGGTATTGGAATGGAATTAGAAAAACGATTCAAAGAGATTGATAATCAATTTCAACGTTTCAATGATGTTGATTCACGTTTAAATGATGTAACACAATTATTAACAAATTTATCTGAAGTGATAAGTAATGTGACGGAAACACAACAACGAGTAAGTTGCGTATACTTAATACTAAAATGATTTCGTCGGAGAGCTTTCACATTGTTCTTCTGTACAACATTGTGCTGATGATGTCGCTCAGAAGAATAATGAAACTCCTATGACTAATTAATCATTCACTTACGGGAATAAAACTTCACTTATATAGTTAGCGCTTATTTCGAAATTTTATTACTTACAAGTTATCATTAGAGGTTTCAGTGAACGAGAATACAGTGTGGGGGGCGGACAACCAAATTTCTCAGACTTGGTTGTTCCTTCTTTTCTACATCAATCAATCTCTGTTCTAGTACTTTTTCCTTCGATCTTTTTAACCTTCTACCACCAGGTATTTCACTTTCGATTGATGATATATACTACTTATATCTTTTTGATGTGGGTTTGTTTTTTGAGCTAGATGGTTTGGTGGTGGAGCTTTCGTTGTCCTTCTGAACGACATCATCAGCACAAACTTCGGGTAGAAGTGAAGTGTATGAATTTCTCCACATGTGATTCACAGCTTGTCTTGTGCACTTTGATGTTGATTGGTTCTTATCGACCTTAAATCTGATGATGTCGTTCAGAAGGACAATGAAAGCTCCACGACCAAGCCATCCAGCTCATAGAATAAACCCACATCAAAATCACCCACCTGAGCTACAAATCTTCTCCACCACTACTTATATCTGTTGACATAAGTAGCACATAACATAAGGAATAGATGAGGAGGAGATGTAGTCTGTGGCATTAAGTATTGTGAATAGTTATGAATAGTTATGTAACGAACAAAGTGGATGATACTCATTTACATGTAACTGCAAACATTTATTAACCGTTAAATTGCATGGTATATTTTCATTTATATCAATCTTTAACCTAAATGTCTTATCCACAAGACAGTGGAGTAACATAAGGAGATGTAATCTCATGATAGCTGGTCACCAACAATGAGTTTATGAGCCATTTGTTTCCTCAAAATTCTGGAGTCGGTGTGCACCATTGGTATGGAATCAGGATTTTCCAACTCCCCTAGATGAATGTTACATATCTATCAACCAGGTTAAAGTGCCGGACATTTGCTTCCCGTCCTCTCAATTTCGTAAACAACAGTAGTACCACGAGAAGGCTGTGAGTAGGACTTCATTTTCAGTGGCTGTATATACGTAGTCATGTGAGAGCATTTTGAGAGGAAGAGAGAACTTTCTCACCGTCAGCCATACCTCGGCATTTGTAAGCTATGTGTATTTAGTCTATCAATCAATATGAATCAGGTGAAATCATTAATGGTGAGTAGTTAATCTAACATAACAGTCAGTGGGACTACAAGCCTATGTGTAGATAACGATGGTTTCGAGGACATCTAATCTCCACAATATAATGATGAGGTCTGATTGAGACAAATTTGATGAAATAATGTTTTCTTTAAGGATTTTTTTAAAACAAACTGTATTATTATTGAGTTCTGTTTCATTTTCTAGATTATTCGACAAATAAATGAACTTCCTACTTGTCAATGTAATGAATTCACTGATGAAGTTGTTCCTGTACAAAAATCCACTACACCTCAAACTGATTCAGGAACAGCAGAGACTAGAAAACGTACAAAACTAGAAGTAGCTATTCAATCTGCATTAGAAGCAGCTAAAGATGTACTACGACCACCAACACCACCACCACCACCGCCACCACCTCCTCCACCCCCAAGGTAAATGTGTTTGTGTGTACATGTATATGATTATAAAGAATGAAGACTAAGTAGATGATGAACAGTGTTGATTGACTTTCAATGGTTTAACTTACTTACTTACGCCTGTTACCCCCAGTGTAGTATAGGCCACCGGCCAGCATTCTCAACATCGTTTCATTCATCGGTAAACAGTTTCATTGCTGTTGTAATACTAGTAGTAGAAGTATGGTGAATACTACTAACAAGATTTTTTGTAAGTAGTATATATTGGAAAGTGGAATGGAAGTCGTTACAGTTGATAGACAGAGAGAAGGGTTTCAGCATGTTAAAAAGCATTGAATAGGCAATAACATGGATATAAGAAGAGAAGATAGTTTAGAAGTAACCGAACTTTAGAATATACCACTAGATACAAATGGATAATTGAAGGCTGACCTTTATTTCAGTTTATATTATGTATCAAATATTTAACATATTCTGTAATTTATTTAGGGAATCACCTGTTCTGTTAGCTGCTGTTGTTCCTGGATCAGAAGATGATTCAAGTGGTTCAGAAGAAGGTGGTGATCCTTCAGCTGATCCAGTTTTAGTACCTCAAGTTCCAGATATTAAAACTGGACGAGTTATAGAAAGAACATTAGGTGATCATCGATTATGGAGAATGGCTCCGTTTAATTTTGAAAAATATCCTGGAATGAGAATGAATGTACCACCTGAACGAATGGCATGGACTGTAAGTATTTCATTAGGTGGATACTTCGTTAGCTTTAGCGTTTTTTTTTGGGGGGGGTTGGTTTTCTAAGGGATGCGGTCGGTAACCCCATGCCCAACTCTTCTCCTTTATCCCGGCTTGGGACCGGCAGTAGCCCCCGGAGGGGCTAGATGTTTCTAGCAAAAGATCTATTGAATGCTGATTGGATAAAGGGTGTCTCAGCATTTACAGAGCCATTTCTTGGCATTTTCTAGAGAAATTTTTTGGATCTCCCCAACAATAATAAGAGTTTATTTGCTTTCACAACCATTTATAAGTATACTCTATCACTTCTAATAACCATGCATGGTGATCACTTACTCCGACGTACTAAATCATACTTACAAATGTAACCGCTTAATGAGATGTTAGAGAAGATTTGTAGCTTAGGTGGGTGATTTAGATTTAGGTTTGTCGTCTGAGCTGGATAGTTTGGTCGTGGAGCTTTCATCGTCCTTCTGAACGACCAAAGCATCCAGCTTAGAGAACGTAACCGCTTAATGCTACTTCATTTACAGTGAAGCCTAAAATTATTTTTCCAATTATGATTATAGAAGTTCTAGTAATTACCGATTTAAGACCCAGTTACAATACAAAGCTCTTCTTCAACTCTCTACTGAATGGAAGGTAGATGGATGTAGAGATCTTTTCAATGGTTCAGAGTCCGAAAGTATGAATACTTTGTATATATTTAAGTACTTATGAAAGTGTATGATCTGAGAGAGATTTATTGATCTTGTAGTACCGTGCTTCGTTAATCGTTCACCTCAATAACCGTTATAGTACAAATCTTAACGGTGCATAAAATCAGAAGGCGAAGAAAAGCGGCAACTATAGTTTTATTGACAAATGACGCAGGTCAAACGAAGTGAAGAGAGAGAAGCGAAATGATATGCAATGGAGAAGGCGAATGAGCCTACTAGATTTAACTAAGCGTGGCTTGAGAAAAATGAATACATCGATCTATCCAGAGGCTATGATAACCCGTGTAGGCTTGACATAGTACCAGCTCATACATATTAATCTAAAATAACTCCACCTCATGTTTTGATGTGAATGCGACATAACTAAGTGAGATACGGTGTATAACATTCATAACTTCGGTTAACTCTCTCAACTGTCATTCAATATTAAAGATGATACCTGTCTCATTTCTTGTGATTGCATTTCTTTAATAGGACTTCAAGAAGTCATCTCTAAAGTTAGTCACTCGTAAATTCATGACCATTCTGTTGAGGTTAAATGTATGGTTCTAGGTAAGCATGGCTGGTATAGGTCGGAGTAGCTTGGACGTAACCTATAGGTGATCTAACCAAAATTTGACATCATTTCTTAAAATCACAGACTATTGAACGTAAGTGTGTTTGTCAGGTGCAGATTACCCGGTTACGATCTGCACGACTGTCGTAATTAATGGTTAAATAAATTGGGTAATACAGTGATGCTCTTTTTCTTCTCTACCACCGACTAATACTGATACTGCTTGTACTGCAGTGAACGAGAACACAAGTGGGGATAACGAAATGAATCTGAATACTGAATTACAGAATACCTAAGTAAAATCTGAGAACCATACAGTGAATACTTCATTTGCAAAATGTCAGCCAGTTGTCTCAAACTTCACTGTTCCTTTTGAAAGTATCAGTCAATCATCTCAGACTTTACTATTCCTCCACTTCCACACTAATCATTCACTGTTCTCGTTCTCTTTTCTTTGATCTTCTTAACTTTCTACCCGAATAGCTCAGTGGTAGCGTCTCTGACCGTGAAGCTGAGTGACACGGGATCGAATCCGTCAGGGAGCACCAGTTCCCTCAAGATTACACGTACACCTTGCTGACGATTACCAAGCAGCACGAAACTCCGGTCCAGGGTCTCCTGTTGACCATCTCCAACCACTATCATATCTCAATGTACAGTGCACGTAGTGTCGAGCCACCTAGACTAGTAGCCACATTGCAACTTGATCGATAGCATTCGATCAGCACTAAGAAGGAATTGACACGCATGACATTGATCACCACCCGATGATCAATCAATTGTGATTAACCTTCTATTTTTAGACATTTCACTTTCAATTGATGATGCAAACTACTTATAACTGTCGATATCAGTAGCACAAACCACAACAATACATTTTGAACAATCTGATCACATATATACTTTTCGGAAGTTCCAACCCCCCCCATTTGTGTATCCGAAAGACAGTTTGTTATCACCCGTAAACCTACCCTGGTAATATTATTAACTTATTATCCAGAGTGATTAGGTTTCAAATTGTTTTCACATTATTATTATTATTGTCCTTGTCGCCTCTTACTCCCCCCCCATTTTCCAGTTCTTAACAAGTATATATGTGATCAAATTGTTCGAAATGTATTGCGCTAATATATCACCACATAGTTCTGATAATCTTTGTCTTCTTATTACACTATCGAAATTTCGTGGATTGGTTGAAGTTAGAAATTAACACCGTTGGATACCGGTTCAGTAATCTAGTGGTTAAGCGATAGAGCTCGACACTAATAGGTCCCGGATTAGAATCTCGCGAGGTGGGATCGTGGATACTCACTGCCGCTGAGGTGTCCAGCAATAGGACGAAACGACCGTTCAATTTTTCCAGGTTTTCCATGGTGGTCTAGCTTCAATCGATTCATGATTTCAACTATTGAAATTTATCATATTGACTCATTGCTTTCATATACTTTCATTAAATAAATAGGTTGAATATCCGGATTATTTTGCCTATGATGCTTGTGAAGAAATTTTATTATTTCCATCAGAAGAATCCCATGATGGTGTCAAGTATGATAAATATTTTTTTCTTTTTTCATTAATTGCATGTTTCTTTAAATGGATCATCTGAGTGGGTTGGCTTCCTTTATGCATTCATTACATTGTATAATTAGTTACTAACGTACTGTATAGTTACTGACGATGATTTACAGGAATGAAGCATGATTTTGAGATGGTTGAGAAGATTTGTAGCTTAGGTGGGTGATTTTGATGTAGGTTTGTTCTCTAAGCTGGATGGTATGGTCGTGAAGCTTTCATCGTCCTTCTGAACGATGTCATCAGCACAAACTTTGGATAGAAGTGAAGTGTTTGATGATATCGTTCAAAAGGACGATGAAAGCTCCACCACTAAACCATTCAATTCAGAGAACAAACCTACATCAAAATGAAGCATGATTATGTAGTTTCCCTTTTTAGCATGTCATACTTCTATTACTTGTCATTCAATACCAAACTATCTTAATATAATCGAATGGATCGAAATTGTTACTTTATAGTTGAAATCTCCACAAACCCCCTCTCCGTCTGATATGAAACAGCATATACTCACTAGTGACTGACTTCCCGGAGTTCTAGTGAGAAGCAGTGACCAGTGGAGTTGAAGCAGGTCTGCTGTGAGTTCGTAACTCACTGAAGACAATAGTGGATCTTTAGTTTGATTGAAGACTATCAGTATTCTTATTATAGTCTTAGATCAATTAAAATATTAGCCTTAAGATATTCTACTTCAATAAGTACTCTTTTGTTAAATGCATGATGATCATTATTCATAGTATGTAGTTCATTGCTTCTTCGACACTATGGAGTTCCTGAGAAGATTGTCAACATTATCCGGAATTCATACGATGGACTATAGTGCAAAGTAAACATGAATGACAGCTGACAGATAAATTTCCAGTAAGGACCGGAGTCAGACAAGGTTGTTTGCCCTCCCCCTTCCTCTTTCTTCTGGTGATTGACGGATTATGAAGACGTCGACATCTGAGTGGATGCGCAGAATACAATGGAAATCTCAGAATCAATTAGACGATTCGGACTTCGCCGATGACTCAGCCGTCCTATCTCATACAGACGAACAAATACAGACGAAGACAACAAATGTAGAAACAGCCTCCGCATCAACAGGCCTCAATATACACAAAGAAAAAAGCAAGATACTCAAATACAAAACAGAGAACACCAACCCAGTCACATTTTATGGAGAAACTCTGGAAGATTTAGAAACATTCATGTACCTGGGAAGCATCGTTGATAAACAAGGAGGATCTGATGCAGATGTAAAGGGAAGGACTGGCAAAGCCAGAGCAGCATTTCTACAATTGAAGAACATGTGGAACTCAAACAACTGTCAACTAACTTCAAAGTGAGAATCTTCAATACGAATATCAAGACAGTCAGTTCTACTGTACGGAGCTGAAACGTTGAGAACTACTACATCCATCGTCAAGAAGGTACAAGTATTTATAAACAGTTGTCTACGCAAAATACTCAACATTCATTGGTCGGATACTATCAGCAACAGCCTTCTGTGGGAGAGGACAAACCAGCTTCCAGCTGAAGAGGAAATTAAGAAAAGACGATAGAAGTGGATCGGATAAACATTAAGGAAATATCAGCAAACTTACTCACGAGGCAAGCCCCAACTTGGAATCTGGAAGGGAAGCGAAAAAGAGGAAGTTCAAAAAATACATTACGTAGGGAAATAGAAGCAGATATGAAAAGGATGAATGGTAACTGGAAAGGATTGACCAGGACAGAGTTGGATGCAGAGTGCTGGTGTGCGGCCTATGCTCCTCGACGGAGAATAACAGGCGTAAGTAAGTGATTAAGTATGTAATGGTTCATTGGTAAACTAATACAATTATTCATGAAGTGTATATTACAGTTGCATTATAACATCAGTTACTAACACAATGAGCAAATGAGTAAACTGTTATACTTTATATCTTGCATAATCAATCATATATAACTGCATATTAACTGCATGATGAATCATCTCTGCACTGAAAATCAAAACACCAACTAATAAGGCAAACAAAGCTAATTCTAAGTCTTATTGCTTCTCTCCTCTGTTGAAATCGATGTAACCGATGATCTCATCATACTCAATACGACTACTTCAAAATGGATCCATATACAAATCTTGACATAAATACACTTAACTTGATAATGTCACACGTTTATCCATTCATGTTGATGATGATGATGATGATGTTGATAACTGATCTTATTATGTATAGTTTTACCCATGGAAACATCGTATTTACTTTTCAACATAGTGAAAATCTACGTACAATCAATTTTAATCAATATGATACAAAAGTTAAATTACGTAGACAAAGTTTACTTGGTCGTTATCGTTTAGATTCAACAACTGGTGCACCATTAAATCCAATGGGTAGAACAGGTTTATTAGGTAAAGGTTTATTACCACGTTGGGGTCCAAATCATTCATTTGTATTATGTATAACAAGATGGACAAGAGATACACGTACTGGTGCACAAATAATAAGAAGTAATCGTGGTGTATTACAATATTTAGCATTAGAACGTAATAAAAGATTATGTATGCCATGGGTAAGTTAAATGTATTCATTTAATGCTATGTATAATTATGAACTCCTAAATGATTTGTATAACTTTTAGTAGGTTCAATGGTAACGTCTTCGACTGTGAAGCTAGGTGACATGGCATCTAGTCCATCAGAGAGTATCAGTCCCCTCAAGATTACACGTACACCTTGCTGACGAGTGCCAAGTAGTATGAAACCCATGTTCAGGGTTTCCTATTGACTACCTCCAATCACCATCTTTTCTCAACATAATGAAGTCATTGTCAAGTCACTTAGACTGGTGGCCATATTGTAACATGGTCAATATGATTCGATCTGCACTAAAGAAGGACCTGACACACATGACATTGATAACCAGAGGTTAGAGGTCTTGAGTGGTGTTTGAGGTATGAGGGCAGTTACCACTTCCCCGTCGCCCACACCTTGGAAGGATTCTTCTGGAGGTATTTGAAAAGAAAATTGGGTTAGAAGTGGTCTTAATGACCTGAGAGCGTGACTGCAGTGCCCAAGGGACAACTGCTTGAGGCCGGTCACACACGACCTTTTTGTGGGTAGTTTTTGTGTTAGCTCCGTTCTTCAAAGGACCTTACCGCCGGAGACGGATATCCGTGGGATAAGGCGAGGTGTGCATTTTTAGGGTCGACCTCTTCTAACCCCAACCCTCCTTGTGAAAAGGCAGAATCGCTGTTACGCTGGTTGTCTGAAGAAAATACCTTACTACTGTCATAGCTCTGTACAGTCAGCAGTATGACTTCGTCTTCGGACCTTGGGTTTGCTGCTTTTGGTCTTACCACTCTTCAACTGACCTGCCTGGCATGGTAGGACCTTGAGGAACGATCATTTCAGCCAGTATAGCTCGATTGGTTCATCACGATAGGCAAGCTTGACTACTACATCAAGGTAGCAGCAACGGTCGGGACTGATAACCACTCAGTGATCAATCAATTGTAGTAGGCTACCATCTATAAATGAGATACTTTAACACTAGGCAAATAAATGTACTGCGAATACAACATTTATAGAACATGTGATAACTGATTGTTCCTACTAGACACATTCGAAAGATTTCGGTGAATGCTGAAGTAATCGAAGAAATCTTTAAAATCATTCAAAACTAGAAGCAGTTATTCATTAGAACATAGTGACGTTTCGTTCAATGATGAATGTTAATTGTCATTTCAAATGATCAGTCTCAATTTCAACCCTAAACATCAACTGGAAGATTCAAAGAAGCAATACAAAATGAATTTAAACTTCACCTTATTGCACAAGGTATTGGCTGTCTATCAGGACTCAGTAGCCAAGTGGATAAAGTGATGTCGTTTGAAGGTAACAGTACTGGGTTCGATTTCTTGAGTGAACACCAACATTGGGATCTAGGTTTATCTAGTTGATGAGTCCTAAATATGACGTCATACTGGATTCCACTGCTAGCCATCATTCATCTTTGCTTATAACTAGAATTATCATAAACTCTCCTAAATAGAAGTAATCTCATTCTAGAACCATTAGAATACATCATCTAATAAATTTATACATCATAGTGGTTCTAGTCTATTTCGAAGTTTCAATAAAAGTTAACTAAAATCTAGGGAATGAATGTTCCAGGAGATATAAGTCATATACTAACCTTCATATCAATCTCAAAATAGACAGTTATGGACGATATACAAACCAGAAATTAAACGCACAGTTATTTTCATTATAAACGCCGATACAAGGAATCTTTCAACGGTTTGCTTTAAATAATCACTATAAAATGACCCTGGTACGGTCGAGAGTGGGGAGAGTCCGCTCTCCCACTCAAAATGGCCACGCGTATATAACCTTTGTCAGGGATGTCCTACTCACTGCCTTCTCGCAACAAGGGTGTTGTTTACGAAATTGAGAGGATGAAGGGCGAATGTCCGGAGCTTTAATCGGGTTGGTGGACAAGGAAAGTCCACCTAGAGGAGTTGGAAAACCCTGATTCCAAACCAATGGTGCACATCGGCTCCAGTATCCTGAGAGGAAAATGGCGTATGAATCAATCGTTGGTGACCGGCTACCATGGGACTACATCTCCTCACCCTGCTCCACTGCCTTATGGATCAGACCTTTAGGTCAAAGGCTCCGGGTGTGACCCCTTAAGAAAACTACCTGCTTCAGTTTGGGAACCTGTGCAGTATCACAGCCCTTACACAAATCAAATGAGCTTTGTGTGGCGCCCCTTTGTACCAACATTTATGTGTTCAAATAGTAATAATAATAATAATAATAATAATAATAAAATCAAATATCATAACAATATTAATCATCATCATTGCATACCCCTAATCATTTCTTTTCTCATTATTATACTAGTATTTAACAGATCATACTAGTAAATGTGATTTTGATGAATGTGTACCGAAGATTATCAGCAGTTTAATTACACGTCGAGGACATGCTATGCTTCCAGAGAAAAGAGTTGATCGATTATTAAAACGTATTGAAAAGGCTGAAGTTACACAGGTATGAATAAAATATGTTGTTAAACTATAGTATATTTTTTCATAGTTGAAAGCATGAGTCAAGTGAAGCTAGACCACAATGGAAAACCTGGAAGTACTGGATGGCCGTCTCGTCCTATTGTGGGACTCCTCAGCAGTGCGCATCCACGATCCAGCCTCGCGAGATTCCAACCCAGGACCTGTCAGTCTCGCACGCGAGCGCTTAATCAATAGACCACTAGACCGGCCGGCACCCAACGATGTTAATCTCTAACTTCAACTGGTCCACGAAGTTGAGCAACCTTTCACCATAATAAGATGAAACGGCCGTCCAGTGCTTCCAGGTTTTCCATGATGGTCTAGCTTTCAACTATGAAAATACTAAATCTCCACAAAACCCCTTCTGATAATTAATATAATATATATGTAAACAATGATCATCATGATTGTTAAATTAGTTTTGTTGTTGAAATAATAAAGTGATCTTAGCCTTAAGGTCATTGAAAACTTGAAAGTTCTGAATAGAATGTACATCTGGTTATAGGATAACTCAACAATCAGCATCCACGACCCGATGCGCGGGAATCAAACACAGAACCTTCAGTATTGAGCGCAAACTAATCTCCAGTTCACTAAATCAGAATATTAATGCTTAACTTTAATAAATTCACGATATTCCACGATTTCTATCCATCGTTTACGGTGCAAAACTGTCTCGTACTCGACATGGAGGTTTAGTTAAAATCAGTTCATGATTTCAACTACGAAAATTTCACAATTCTTATGAATTCCTCATACTTATAACAATAGTAAATATCTAGGCATATTTCTAGAGTACTTGTCCAAGTCCTACTGTGCAACATGTTTTCTGAAATTCAGTAAATATTCAGATAAAACTCGTAATCAGTCAGCGTGTCAATCAGGCATCCTCGGATCAGTACGTACATGAAGATAAAGTAAATTGAACTTTATAACAGGAAACTGTCTCCATGTGTTCAAATTCAATTGACTAAGATACTTATTAGAAGGGATTTTTGAATGGTTGCTCAATTTCATGGATTGACTGAAGTTATACATTAACACCGTCGGATGCCAGCTGGCTTATTGGTCTAGTGGTTATGCGCTCGCGCGAAAGACTGATAGGTCCTGGATTGGAACCTAGTGAGGCAGGATCGTGAATGCGCACTGCCACTGAGGAGTCTCACAATGGGACAAAACGTCTGTTTAATGCTTCTAGGTTTTCCATGGTTGTCTAACTTTAATTGTCTCATGATTTCAATTATATAAAATGACTAAGATACTGTCAACCGACAGTTAAATTTCACTTGCAATACATTTATCAACTTACAAAATTTATTTTCCATACTATTGAAGCTAGACCACCATGAAAACCTGGAAGTACTGGATGGTCGTTTTGTAATGCTTTGAGACGTATCAGTGGCAGTGCGCATCTACGACCCCACACTCGTAAGATTCCAATCCACGATCTACCAATCTCATGCCAGAGCACTTAACCGATAAACCATCGAGCTGGCCGACATCCAATGGTGTTATTGTCTAATTTTAACCAATCCACCAAATTGAGCAACCATTCACCAATGTCTTCAGTCAGTTGATATATCCCAACACATCTAATTAAACTCCACTGGTTACTGCTTCTCACTAGAACTCCAGGAAATACCTCTTGAAGCCGTCCAGTGCATGATGGTCTAGCTTCCATTGTCTAATGATCTCAACTATTAAATTACTAGAATATCCACAAAATTCCCTTCTGATATTAATAATGAAACTGTTTAAAACGACTTGATTTCACAATCCCTCACAAGATTGAATTCAGAAAGGAACTAATGTATTTCAGATGGTAGATTACAATTTACAGACCAAAATTTTCAAGTTCAATCTATACTCACACAGACATCACCACTTAATATCAAGTTGATAAGTATTACAATCTCTTAACTTCATTATAACGGAATAGTGAATTGACGATGTGAAATCTTCTAAAAGAATCAGCCCGAAAGGTTCACTTTCTTGATGTGGAAATGACAAGAAAACGAAAAAGAACCGTCAGGAGATCTACAGGAAACCCATGTGGAATGACCAACTTCCAAGTTTTAACAGCTGGATCCCCATTAGTCGAAAGAGAAACTTAATAATATCAATCGCTACGCGAAAACAAAAAATTTGTAGTCCCGAGGTCATAGATGACGAACTGGGCCTCATGAAGGAGATACTTATCAAAACGAGCATCCTTCGATATTCATTGATAAGAACATAAAACCAAAACCACTGAAAACACAAATAACTTCAATCGAAAAGAAAACATTATACATGAACATTGACTTTAAGGGTGACAGAGCCATATACGTCTTAAAGAGAAGAATTTCTGATTCTTTAAAAAGAACGTCCTTAGCAACAACGTTGCGAATAGTATTCTTCAGCCGGTCATTGTTCACCAACAATCTTAAGGATAGATTACCTCATCTGACCAACTCCATGTACATTTACCAATTTACGTGCTCATATGGAGTCAGGTATATAGGTCGTTCGATGTGTACTTTATCTAAAAAGAATCCATGAGCATTACCCAGAGTAGCTAAAAAGAGGAGGAAATAGTCCAATATGAAGTTCAGCGATCAAACGTTTTGTGAACATAGGTCACTCAATCAAGACGGACTCTACGTCCAAAGTCATCTACAAAGTGAATAGTAGTCTTCCAAAGGCAATTAAATTGCATTTTCTTAGCATTGACGAAGCAATAGCCATACATCTGGGAAAACGAGAATTGTGTGTTCAAAAGAGATTGGTACAACCTCTACTTCTACCATGGTCTTAATGTCTTATAACTGGTTTTTCGTTTTTTCTTACTTTACAACCATCTACTTCCTCTTCTATCTTCTCTTTAAACTTTTTACCCCCAACTGGTTTATTACTGTTTCTACGATCCTCCTGATTATATTTAATTTCAATTTCAACATCTTACCTTATCATGTTCAGATATCCTTTCCCAATGAACTGTATAGGTAATATAATTTAAATAGTCTGTTATTATTTCTGTTAAGTGTTGGAAGAAAGCTGAGGGTGGCCAGACCAAAACGTGGCACAAATACATGAAGTCACTGACAAGTGAACTGAGCAATGCTGGTAGGTGTAGACTACCTGGTTGGGATTCGCGAGATGATAGCAATCGATGGTTAGGGACCTTGAATGACATGGTTCAAAATCGTTTATAATGGCGAGGGTGCATCCACTCTTTGTGTTCTGCCAAATTCTAATCTTCTGAATTCTTCATGTCCCTTTCTTTTTCTCTTTCCAAATTTATTTCACTGGATTATATATACTGCTTGAATAACATCTTCAAACCATAATCTTTCACGTCAATGCTCATGCTCTTACTACTTCTATCACTATAGGATTTGAATCGACAACTGCATCTCTGTGCTAATGTGGTATGGAAACTCTAGCTGATGTACGTACGTATGAAGTTCTACGTTGTGACTGACTGACTTACTGACTGTTAAGTGTTCAATCATATAAAAACTTTTCTTTTCTATGTATCTTATCATTTTTAGATTTTCAAAGGTTACTTAGATGATCAATTAAATGCTGACAGTGCATGGATGGAAACTGTTGTGATTAATTTACATGAATCTGAGAGTAAAGGAGCTCAACTTCCAGATGATATACTAAAGGTAGGTTATATTAATTGAATTATCTTTTGGAAACAATTCCTATGACCTAGGGATCTAATCCATAAGTCAGTGGAGCAACGTTAGAAGCTGTAGTCTCACGATAGCCGGTGACCAACGATAGGTTTATGAGATATTTGTTCCCTCAGGATCGTGAAGGCCATATACACCATTGGTTTGGAATCAAGATTTCTTAAATCCCCTACGTGGATCTTCCTTATCCACCAACCCGGTTAAATTGCCCAAAATTCGCCTTTCGTTCACCCAATCTAATAAAAGCACCTCTAGCGAGAAGGTAGTGACTAGGACTTCCCTGACAGTGACTGTATACGCGTGGCCATATGATAGTATTTGGAGAGGAAGAGCTGACTCTTCCCATCTTTGATCGTACCAGTGCATTCAAAGGCTTTAAACGTCATTATATATGCCGACAATTCGCGACATTATTAAAACAATGAAGTTTAAATAACAATGTAAAAACAATGTAGAATAGATGGTCATTGTCGGAACAGCACTTATGTTACTTGACAAACAACAGGCATATTGAGGTTTACTTAATCTATCTACCAATGCGAAATCTAATGACCAATTATAAGGCCAGGCTATTTACCCACTATCTCCATGATGCTTGAATAAGGAATTGATGCAATTCCCCAAACTGTTATGGAAGTTCAAAATAATATAGATAATCTAAAGTGAGGGAGAGTAGCAGAGCTCCATGAAATAAAAGCTGTGATTTTTAAAGTTGGTGATCCAATTCTATCACTAGAGAATGGCTAAGATTTGAGATAGAATCCAGGATCTAGTCTCGATCACTGATCGTCCGAATCCATGAAAAAAAGGAAGATAATAAGTCAACCAACGGCATATGTGGCATAAGTTTGATCTTAACATTCATAGTTACAAAACAAGTCACTGTGATTGACAGTAATAAAGTTGTTATTATCCAAAGTATTAAAGCTTTTCCGGGCTAGTTTTCCTCGATAAGCAACTCACCTTAACAATAGTATTAATCACATTCCTATATATATATATACCTTTTATACGAGAAGAAAAAATAACTATACAATAGTTGTTTCCATGTAGAGCTGAAGGTCTTCTATGAGATTGAAGGTTCGCCATTGACATTGTGGATGGTTCAACATTACTTTGGCAAGTTTTGCTAACTAATCATGTGAAAATTTGGTTTGCTAGTTAACCGATTTCATTCATACTAATGGTTGCTTTTCAGTGTTATCAAGGGCTATTATCACTGGAACATTGTAAAGCATATCGCCATTGCTAATATTATTGAGTTTGACTGTCGTGTAAGCGGAATGGGTCAACTTAGGCCTATTCATGCTGTACATAATTGATTTATGCGATCACTAATCAGACTAATTATCCAATGTGATGTGAATGTGTTTATGAATGGTACGAATGGTTCACCGGGGTACTTGGTACCTATATGGTTGCATCACAGGATTGAGCTGTACTATTCAGATTGTAGCGTTCAATCCCATATAGTGTCTGGTTTCCCTGCGAAACGTGATGGAGCTGTACCGTTTGTATTGTCACATGAAAGTCTAGATGGCATCTGGTTCTCCTGGAAACCAATACAAAATTACCCTAACCCACAAGGGTATATGATATAACTTACATAGTACAGTAGTATTATAGTGAACAGAACACTGGTTGGGGGCAATCGAATGTATTTATGCATAAATTACAGACTATCTCAGTAAATTCTGAAAACCATACAATGGATAGTCAATTTGCAAATTAACAACCAATAGTCTCGATCTTCACTGTTTCTTCTCTAATTCCATTGTGCATGCATTTTCTTACTACTTGCGCTTCATTTCAGTTCTTTCCTTATCCGTCTTCTGCCAAAATACATTCTATGCCTAACCAACACCATATACTACTTATATAGATATAAGTAGACCACACCACAGTATCTGAAATTTATTAAAATATTTTTCTTTATTTGTTTCGTTTTTTTTTTCTCTTCATAGTTACTTAATGAACCTAATACAGAAGAACAATCTAAATGGATTGAAGTATCACATAGTAGTAATCTACGTACAAGTCATAATTATATACTTAAAAATGTTGCAGAACTTCGAAGAGCATTCTATTAAATTCAATTATTATTTAATTAATATTAATATATATATATTTATTTATTATATTTTAAAAAAAAGAAAAAAAGAAAAAAGAAAAAAGAGAAAAAAAGAAAAAGAAGAAAAAGAAGAAAAGAGAAAAAATAAAAAAGAGAAAACGAAAAAATAGAAAAAAGAAAAAAGAAAAAGAAAAAGAAAAAATAGAAAAAGGAAAAAGGAAAAGAAAAATTAGAAAAAGAAAAAATAGAAAAAGAAAAAAAAGAAAAAGAGCAAAAAACCAAAAAAAAATTACAAACAGTATTCAATGAATTGAGATTCAACTTAAAAATCAATAACAGAAAAAAAAATCAATTTAATGAACATTCGATAAACTTTTTTTTTTTTAAAAAAAGGGGGGGGATAAAAAAAAATGATGATTTCCATTTTTGTTTGTTTGTTTGTTTGTTTGTTTGTTGGTTTTCCAGAATTTTCATTCTATAATCATGTTTATTATTATTATTATTCATTTTATAAATATAAAAATTGTATTATTTCTTTAATGTTTTCGGTCATTTATTTTTTATTTCATAGTTGAAATCATGGATCCACAAAACTCATCTCTGATCTATAATCATATGTTTACTAGTAACTGACTTCAAGAGATATTTCCTTGAGTTCTAGTGGGAAGCAATGACCAGTAGAGTTCTATCAAGTCTGTTGTAGAGATATCAACTCACTGAAGACAATTGATGAACGGTTGCTCAAAATCGTGGATTGGTTGAAGTTAGATATTAACACCGTTGGTTTCAAGCCGGCTCAGTGGTCTATTGGTTAAGGGCTCCGGTTCGAGATTGATATGTCCTGGGTTCGAATATCACAAGTGCTGGATCGTGGATGCGAACTGTCACTGGGGAGTTCCATAATAGGAAGAAACGGCCGTCCAGTGCTTCCAGGTTCTCCATGGTGGTCTAGCTTCAATTGATCCATGATTTCAACTATGAAAATACTAAGTTCTTCACAAAACCCCCTCTCATTTATTTTTTCGTTTATTTGAAAGAGCATCGTTGGTCTAGTTTAAGGTTGATTATCTATGAATTGAATAAATGGTATTGGGTTCTAGTCCCTTAGAGTGAATATCCATTCTTGGATTTAGGTATATCCAATTGACAAGTTTTAAATAGGATGAAATGTGCATCAAACTGGATTTCATTGTTAACCAATATTCGTCTTTGATTAGAATGATTGTGACTTAAAGTAATATCGAGGCAATCTGTAGAGGATGTACATATACCAACGAGTGATTGATCAGTTGTAGTCCTAAACATCAATTAGTGCATACAAACAAACTATACGAAATGGATTTGACTGAATTTGTATTTAAATTATGAATTACTTACAAGTAGCAAAAGATGTATGTAAACTCAGTAATGTTTGTTTGAATCTTCTCATTGATGTTTAGGACTGTAACTGGTCAGTCTCTTATTGACATATGTGCATACTGTGTGTATTGCCTCGATATAGTCTTAATTCACAAGCATTATAAGCAAAGATGGATAATGGCTAGCAGTGGAATCCAGTTTGATGCGCGTCACTTCGTCCTAGTTGGGACTCGTCAAGTGAACGTACCTGCCACATCTAAGAGTTGATGTTCACTCTGGGACTCGAACTCAACACCTTTCGCTTCAAACGCCATTACGTTATCCACTTAGCTACTGAGTCCTGATAGCCATTTGCTTATGCAATTGGGTGAAGTTTAAATTCACTTAGTATTGTTTGTTTGAATCTTCCCATTGATGATTTTGGACTGCAACTGGCCAGTCCCTTATTGGCATATGTGTATACTGTGCCTTAACAGTTTAACTTATCCATATAAGACAATTGATTTTTAAACTAATACGACATTTCATCAATAAGAAAAGACAAAACATTTACAGTAATCCAAGAGAACAAAAAATGCTGGTCGGCGGCCTATGCTCCATTGGGAGTAACAGGCGTAAGGAAGAGAACAAAACCCAATAAAAGCACTAAAGCAACTCAAATGTTGATCTATCAAGCATTCTGGATCATATCACTTATACAAATGACTCTTAAAACAATATAAGCCTTTTCAGTGGAATGTTCGCAGACAATAATGAATTTTTTAATGCACCTAACAAATGTAAAAATAGAATTGACATGATCCAGTTATTTCTTGGATAATGAAAAACACCGTTAATTACAATCTCTTCAACTATTTACTCATCGAGAAATTTATCAATTCTTCTCAATATAGATTTCTTGAAGGTCGATATTGAATGACCAATCACTTGGACTTTTCTTTTTTAATTCAGTCTTTACTCAATATCACCGAGGATATCTAGATTTAGTGTTATCCTTTGAGATTTCAAAAGTAATCTCATAGGCTAACTCGTACATTATAATTGCTTAATTCATTCCTCTATTTAGCCACCAACGCTAAATAGTCAAAATAACCTCTTCCATGTCTCAGTCAAAACTTGTGTAATACAAAATAGTGTTCTATGTCTTTTGAACATTTTGGTTAATACTAACGATAGCTGCGATTGCTTTTACATGGGTAAACCTCTACTATGTGGAAATAGTTTTAGTGTAGCGTGGTCAATTTCTCTTGATATATTATACCAAACCAAATAATTAATGTGGATACACTTCTTTTATATGGTCCAAAAACTTGTCTCGGTTAGACAGAGGTTCAAAGATTCTAAAATCGTAAGGTAGAGGAACTCATCCATATGGTTCTATAATAGTGTTAGTTATGTCCATAACTAACCAAGACGCCTTTGTGCGAGTTGTGAATAAGAGTAAGGATGGTTCTGATAAATTTAAAAAAGCCAATGCTAGTTGTAGACAGATTATGTGTAGTTGGAACCAGAATAAGATAGCAAATGCTCTTTTAGAAAGAGGTTGTGAATGGCGTTTTAAACTCCCTAGAGCTAGTCATCGAGGCAGTGTATGGGGATGCATTATAAAGTCGATAAGAAGGATTCTACAATCACTACTATTTCAAAAGGTATTGACGGACGAGTCTTTGGAGATGTTTTTAATAGAGATTGAAGAGATAATGAACAATCGACCATTCGTAAAGCTAGTTAATGACTGTGATGACCTGGATGTACTTACGCCAAATAAGTTATTGTTAGTTTACAGAGGTGTATCATTCGACGAAGCGCAGATGAGTAAAACGTGCTTATATAACAGGAGATGAAAGGAAGCTCAACAACTAGTCAACCTATTCTGGAACAGATGGTTACGGGAGTACCTACCAACCCTTCAGGCGAGATCCAAGTGGTTGGATATGAGGAGGAATTTACAACCAGAAGATTTAGTGTTAGTAAACAATATTGGCTCACCGAGGAATCTATGGCTGAAAGCTATAGTTAGACAGGTCAATTATGGTCCTGACGGACGAGTCAGAACAGTTCGATTGAAGACGGCAACCGAAGAGATCAGCCGGGATATACGGAACCTGTGACTACTGGAAGAGGCCGATTGTTTGAGCGCAACAGTAGAGAAGCCTGAATGTTATGTCCGCTTGGGGGGGAATGTTAGTTATGTCCATAACTAACCAATTAAATCGTTGCTTAAGCTCCCACCACGTTAACATGGTCTGATGTGTCTGTAAACTATCCCTGTTGCATGTGACCTACCAATTGAAAGACATTATTATCCTATTATATTAGTGTGATTCATAAATTTCATTCATTTTAATAAGACAAGCAATACTGGTCGGTATGTTTGTGCGTTTCACTTAATGACTGTAATTCTTTAATTATTGTACTAATCTGATTGCTTTTATGTTTAGAAACAGATAAAGTTTAAAGCCAAGTTGTCCTTGTCCTGACTATAGCTTTCACATAGACCCTGGGATCGCCAGTATCGCGTTTACAGTTTTAATAGCATATCTGTAGGACAAAATAAATCCTACAAATAGTTGGTCTCTGGAACCATGATAAGGTCTTAAAAACTCTCTCAGCCTCGATAACATAGCTTTATCATCGTTTGTGTGTATTCCGGTTGTGCAAGTTTGACATTTTTATGATGGATATGTCCCCACAACACTCATAACACTGAACAGCCGAAGCTTCAGTAACATCTGCAATTATTGCAGCCAATGTTACTGGTGCTTTTATTATATAGTTAACAGCAATTATTATAATATGTCTTAGTTTCAATCTGTATCGAGTGATAAAGGTTTCTATTCTAACAAACGTCTTCCTTCAACATTTATTACATCGAATGACAACATCATGGTAGTCTGTACAAGGTCTACAGGTCATTTAATACCTTCAATGACAAATACAGCAACTCCTTAGTAGTCTCATTTATTGAAGCTGCTTAATTGTCAAGTCTTCTCTAAAATCCTTTGTGAACCGAACGTACATGAGCGACAGGTACTGAAATTAGCGCCATGACCTTGAAATCTCTCACACGCTTCTGATTGGCTCGTCCATAAATTATAGTTTCGTCGTATTATGATCCAGATAATACTGCATATATGGTTTAGATATATTGCATTTGTATTGACAGACATACATATTCCTCGTGTAAATCTATTATGAATCGTGTGATTGTGGATTACATTGAAACATTGAAACCTAAATAAAACATCAGGGAATTTCAAACAAATGGTATCAGATAAAAAAAACTAAAACTTAACACAATCGATTGATCACTGGCTGGTGATCAATGTCATGCGTGCCAAGTCCGTCTTAGGGCTGATCGAATCCTATAGATCAACTTGCAGTGTGGCCAGTGGTCTAGGTGGCTCGACACTGCGTGTACTATATTGAGATAAAATGGTGGTTGGAGTAGGTCAACAGGAAACCCTGAACCCGGGTTTCGTGCTACTTGGCACTCGTCAGCAAGGTGTACGTGTAATCTTGAGGGAACTGGTGCTACCTGATGGATTCGATCCCGTGTCACCCAGCTTCATTTCAACTTGATCGATAGCGTTCGATCTGCACTAAGAAGGACTTGATACATATGATGTTGGACACTACTCAGTGACCAATGAATTGTGA